AAGGAGATTTTTAGGCTGATAACGTTACTGTGAAAGAAAGGTGATCCTGTCTGGACAATCTCAGTGTTGTACATGTTAAAATTATCATGTTAAATCAAAAGCATGATGAAAAGGACAAAATAACATGTGAAGGTGTTTGACAGTTGCTACTTGATCAGATAGACAATTTCCAGGGATTGTTCATGGTCATGTAGTGGTTTCATATACGTATCTGGCTATATGTCCCTATAGTTATGCTTTGTACTTGTAGGCTCTGATATAGCTTTGGGCGGTGGAGTAGCCACGTCGAAGACCCTGGTTCGATTTCCCACATGGGTAAAGTATGTGAAGCCCATTTCTGGTGTCTTCTGCCGTGATATTGCTGAAATATTACTAAAAGTGGCATAAGATCCATCTCACTCACTCAATCTGATATAGCTACCTGTCACTGTCAGGCCCTACCAAGGATCAGCTGACTTTATAGAAAATGACACTGTTACGACCCTTTATTGGTAGAGCCCTATAGGGACAGATAGGCCCCAAGCACTTCATCATACTGATAATAAAATGAAGATCTGATGTTTGAAGTGTAAACCTGATTCTGTTTTATCATATTCTGATGCTACAAATAGTTCACTGAACTGGCAACCACTTGTGTCAATGCCCAGACCTGACTATTTACAGGTCGCCATGACATTGTTGGAATATTGTCATCCACAGCATAAAACAACACTCACTGGTTCCATAGAGTACCTACTATGGTAATGGTATTGACAAGTTTTAGTATAAAGTTCCTCCATGTGCCAGAAGCCAAGAAGTGTATGTGCCTTTTATGAGGAGTTGATCTGTCGCTGTCAGCAGCTGTAAGGTTCATTCAACAGTTGTTATGGTGTGTTGCCTAGTTGAAGCTGTGACAGTTGTCCTTGTTGACAAGACAGGTATAACCACACCAACTCATCCATACCTAGTCGAGCCGGGACATCTATGGTGCAGTGCTGGACTTTGTTTTTAATTAAAATGTTGCTTTTGTACACTTGATAATACCATGCAACTATAGGAATTATTGGAATGTTTGCCTGATTTTCATTTGCCTGATTGAAAGACAACATTATGTATTGATAATGATCAATAACTTCTTTTGTTACCTGCTATGTGGATGTAAAGGGCTGCGTTGTCGTAATATGCATGTTTACATATGGCATTGCAGAGTGGTAAGTGAATTAGTTACTTATGCAAGTGGAAATGGAAAAAGGCAATACAAATATTAAAAGCTCTAACAGACAATACTTTGTTATTTTTTAACCAGCAAGTAGAATAACTGTAGTACATAACATTGACCAAGAGTAACCTATCAACATACTGAAGTGAAACTTTCTCTTTGTTCTGGAATATGTAGGCCATCAGCCCCTAGTACAGTTATATCATACAGAAACAAACGGTTTGTGCGTAGCTCATTCGCGTAAAGTAGATACATGGCTAGATTTCGTAGCACAGTGGAATTGTCTACAGATACAGAAGAATCCAAGGTAGTCTTGTTAGTACACCATCTGGTTATAAAAGTAGAATATTTATTGTATGTATTGTAATAAATAATATATGCTATTTTATGTACCATATTTTACCGTAGATAAGCTGAGGTTCGAACTTGACCCTTAAAATCAGTGTCATCTTTTCGTCGTGATCAGTCATCGAAAATAGAGTGTCAACAAATCCAAATTGAATTACGCCAGTCAGTCATCGGAAATAGAGTGTCAACAAATCCATCTTGAATTACGCCAGTTATTCCTGTTGTGACACAATCTCGTAATGAAACCTGTTCTTTGCATATTTGGACTTATGTTTGCAATCTAGTTTATCAATTTTACTAAAAATGTCAGAAAAGAATGTTTATATCAACTGCAGTGAAATTGTGTATCCATCCGATATTTATGACTTTGGTCCACATTATTTACAGCAATCACTATCTACTCACGCCTCAAAATGAAGTGTAGTTAACAGAAAATGGGTATGTGCTTAACTTATGAAAAAGCAGCTACTAAAATAACAATTTCCTATGTTTCAAGATGTATACATTTACAAACTTTAGTTCATTATTTGCTAATGGAAAAGGGGCTTCATATAAAGTTTAATAATAATACATTCATTCTGAGATTAAATACCGTTACTATTTCTTTCAGTGCATATTCATGAAGACATCTCCTGAGGTTAAGGTCATTATTCACAGTTTGGACATGCATGTTAATGGTAATGGGTACACTGCAAGCAGGAATGACACAGAAGAAAGTTGCCAGACATTTTAACCTTCATCGAAACACAATATTATTTCTTTGTCAGCGTTATCTACATGAGGGCAACACTCATGACTTGCCATGGATTGTTCGTCCATGTGTGACATCATGTCAACAAGACAGCCATATTGTTGCATCTATGGAATCGATACAAAACTGCCACATTAACAGCTCACAAACTTCCTTGTTTGAGACCAGTATTAATGGCAGAACTATATGCAGTTGGGCGGAGGGAGCACACCATCCAGCACCAATGTTTTGCGATTTGCCTAAGTTTGCTTCAACATCAAGTATGCCTGGCTTGGTGTAGACAGTATCTGAGGATCTGTAGGCAAGGCTGGATCAGTACACTAAAGTGTTCATCTTCACAGTTCTGATGGTCATGCAAGAGTGACAGGCAACTGGGGAATGTTTAGCAACAGTGATATTACTCAATGTCATCAGTTTCAGGGCGGAAGTGTAATTGTATGGGGTTGCATCACAGCTCATGGGAGAACACAACTCATCAGTGATCATGGCAGTTTGAATGACATACCACACTGTGACAACATCATTCAAGAGCCATGTCCTATCCTTTGTGACAATGCAGGGATGTGAACTTACATCGCAGCAGGATAATGTTCTCCCACTCGTTACTTGTATTGTAACAAACATTTAGATTCAGCATAACATTGCTGTACTGCCATGCAGGATACTCTCCACACCTGTCCCCAAATGAATATGTCTAAAATGAGATGGAACAATATCTACAACAGGATCAGAACAATCTGGTAATGCTTGCGAATTTGAACCAATCTTTGGTTGACATTTTGAACAGCATCCAACAGGCTGTTTTCAGTCATCTGGAGTCTTCAATAAACATTAATTAGTTACATTTTGGTGTTTTAGACACACAAATATTACATGGAACACACATGCAACTTTAGCTAACTGGTTTGGTCAAATTGTCCATCATAAACTGTTACCAATTGAAAACCAATGCCTTTTCTGTTTGGCAAACTGAGTATTTCGAGCTTTTGAAACTGTTCATGTACTCGATTGAAAGCTTTAACATGGATCCTTTTTTTTTTATGACAAATGGTGTTAACACATTTCCATTTGGTCTGTCATAGTTTCTACAAGTTCTACAACAGACGGATGTGTGGTAACATAAACCTTTCTCTCCCTTTTCCTGTTTGTTGAATTTTATTTTTCACACCCACTGTATTCTTTTATGTACACTGTATAGTAAAGCTATAAAATTAACCCATCAATTTTGGGAGGGACCCTAATTTTATGGTGAAGGGATCCAAGTAACCCCTGAACATTTAAGACAGAGCATCTGATGCAATTCTGCTCTCTCATGCTGTGACTGTCACTGGGACTAAATGGATGTTGGTTACAAATGCAAGGGGAAAAACAATTACCCCATATTTCAGTTCAGCTTGCTCTGAGCGTGCTGTAATATTGCCAGTCCTCACAAGAATAACACAGTTAATGACTGTTTTGGTATCCTTTCAAGTAATTGCAAAAGTCCAATAGTTTTAATGATTCTTTAGAAGAGGTTCTTGACTGGCTAAACATGCAACAAATTTAAAGGTCTGTAAATTTTGTGAACAGAAATGGCTGTCCAAGGATGACCATGCTGATTTTGTTGTGGAATGTAACATATTTAAACATGTTAAATGTGAGAATATTCATGCACAAAGTCCTCTGTAGAGTTAAAATCTGAAGCAAAAGTCAAGAAAGAAGATGAAGAAATTCTGTCCAACTACATTTCAAAAGTAATAAAAGGCCAAAAATAATATTAACAGCATTTTTGTAACTTTAAAACAATGTTCTGAAATAATAGACAGATGTTCCTCTGTCAGTAAAGAATTGGCTTGACCAACAATTTAAATCATTTAACTCAGTTGACAACAAATAATAGAAAACATTGAATTTTAAGCATTGCCATTCCAGCCCCATGTACAATGTGCAAGACCTTTAGGCATTCATATTTCTATCAAAACAGAAAGCCGGTATTTTATTAGATAAGACCTCACTACGTCATCCTGCAAGTGGGGACATGCACAGTCATATTACAGATAGAGCAGTCATTATTCAGAGAATCCTGAGATATTTGGCATGAATTAAGATTTTCCTTGATTACGATTTTCAGTTTGTCAACTATCACCATTCATGTAAACCTGGGCCAAGATTTTCAATGCTCTCTCAGGGATTGGGATAGTGAACTTTGACAATGGGCCATTTTCAGGATTAGTAGTCATTTTCTGAATTTAGAATGGGCCACTGCCCTTGTATCAATAGTAAACTTCAAAATTTTAGTGGGCCATTTTTTATTTTAATGTGCATAATGGCCCATGGCCCCTTCCTTCCCTTCTCTTAGTGTTAAGATGATCGAAAGTGCCATACAGTAACAATAACTTACGAGTGACTATCTTATCTTAGCTCCATGAGAGCTTCAAAAATCTTTCACCATAATTGTAAGTTTCTTTTACCTGCCTCAATTCTGTCTCTCCTCTCAAAGAACCTGACACATTGTGATTATGTTGTATTGCTGTTCAAAACAGAGTTAAACAACTCTCCCACACACTCTCTGCAAGCAAGGGTATCACTGATTTTACAGTAGCCAGAGAGTGGCAGGGTCTTATTTGACTGTCAATGATGCTTAAGAGTCCTGAACAACAACTTTGCAATTTGCATGTGACTGATATTTTTGATAGTGTCTAATAACCAGTTCTTGTGTTTCAGCTCTCACCAAAGAAGATACGATACATGAAAGCGACCAAGAGGTATGTAACTGCTGATGTCAATCACTCTCACGTAATTATCATAATTTGCGCACTTGCATTCACTTGAAAACATCCGGTTATTGAGAAGGCTTGGTCACCGTATGACTTCCTAGGTCGGACTAAACTTTACAGTTAGAAATAATTAGGGTCAGGAGGGTATAGGTTTGTCCTTATATATTTTTTACACCATGCACCTCTTAGTGCAAATTCTAGACTGTACCTTGTCTTCCAAACATCAGACATTAGTCCTAGGAGGCAAAATTGATGGAAAATGTCAAAATTGTTCTGTGAAATTATGAAGTTCTGTCTTGGAGAGTAAGATATTTATTCATAAGATTGCGATGTATTTTAGATTCAGTTAGTACATTTAGTATGATTCATTATGTATTGTCTTAAGGATACCACACTTGTTACTCGACATTCGTTATAAACAATGTAAAAGCCAGCAAAGTTGGTGAGTATCATTTGTAAGAAATGTCAAGCTATGTGTGCGTTGTTGGACTGAAATGACAGCATCAAAGGAACAGCATTTATAATACAACCTGAAAGTTAACGAAAATCCATAACAACAATAAGCTCAATACAAATATGCTGCCAAGAAAGTTCATGCAGTACATTTGTAATACATGAAAATCTTTATCTTAATGCCTCAATGTATATGCTGCTTGTGAACTTGCCAACATTCATAATGCCCTAAGTAGGAATAAACCATTAAATTTTGTACTGCAGAATGTAGGTCAGTAAACTGTCAGGTTATTGAAGATAATCTACAGTTGGAATGCCTCAAAGCTGCATTTAAGGGGGAAAATGAAAAATATCAACTTTCAGTGACATACAGTTATTGGATATCATGACATACAGTTATTGAATATCATCTTCTTTATCTGATGAAGAAGGGGTGAGAATTAACTCTGAAATGTCATGTTTAACAAATAAAGAAGTTCATATCCAAATTTTTTTACTCATTCTCATCACTTCTAAATGCCCTTCAAATAACTCTGCCTTTGAAGGAGTCTTTTGTCTTTTGGGAGACAGAGTTGGGCATTTCCTTATTTCAAGGTTAAAAGTCAAAGGTCAGTTGATGCCTGTGAGATCTCAGAAGGAAAACTTAAGATGTCCATGTAATGAATTCACTTCCTGCATGCTTGTACCTTTGACAGAGACAGAACGTGCACAGGAATACAGTTTCATACACATTGCTTGTTTACATCTAAACACACGTCAGTTTTACAACTACACACACATGGCAGTATTACAGCTACACACACGTGGCAGTATTAGAGCTACACACACATGGCAGTATTACAGCTACACACATGGCAGTATTACAGCTACACACACCTGGCAGTATTAGAGCTACACACACATGGCAGTATTACAGCTACACACACATGGCAGTATTACAGCTACACACATGGCAGTATTAGAGCCACACACATGGCAGTATTACAGCTACACACACACATGGCAGTATTACAGCTACACACATGGCAGTATTACAGCTACACACATGGCAATATTAGAGCTACACACACACATGGCAGTATTACAGCTACACACATGGCAGTATTACAGCTACAGCTACACACATGGCAGTATTACAGCTACACACACAGTATTACAGCTGGCAGTATTACAGCTACACACATGGCAGTATTACAGCTACACACATGGCAGTATTACAGCTACACACACACATGGCAGTATTACAGCTACACACATGGCAGTATTACAGCTACACACATGACAGTATTACAGCTACACACACATGACAGTATTACAGCTACACATACCTGGCAGTATTAGAGCTACATACCTGGCAGTATTAGAGCTACACACACATGGCAGTATTACAGCTACACTCACATGGCAGTATTACAGCTACACACACATGGCAGTATTACAGCTACACACACATGGCAGTATTACAGCTACACACACATGACAGTATTACAGCTACACACACATGGCAGTATTGCATCTACACACACATGGCAGTATTACAGGTACACACACATGGCAGTATTACATCTACGTATATGGCAGTATTAGAGCTACACTCATGGCAGTATAACAGCTACACACATGACAGTATTAGCGCTACACACACATGGCAGTATTACAGCTACACACACATGGCAGTATTAGAGCTACACACACATGGCAGTATTACAGCTACACACATGGCAGTATTAGAGCCACACACATGGCAGTATTACAGCTACACACACACATGGCAGTATTACAGCTACACACACACATGGCAGTATTACAGCTACACACATGGCAATATTACAGCTACACACACATGGCAGTATTACAGCCACACATGGCAGTATTACAGCTACACACATGGCAATATTACAGTTACACACACATGGCAATATTAGAGCTACACACACACCTGGCAGTATTACAGCTACACACATGGCAGTATTACAGTTACACACACATGGCAGTATTAGAGCCACACACATGGCAGTATTACAGCTACACACACATGGCAGTATTACAGCTACACACATGGCAGTATTACAGCTACACACATGGCAATATTACAGCTACACACACATGGCAGTATTACAGCTACGCACATGGCAGTATTACAGCTACACACATGGCAATATTACAGTTACACACACATGGCAATATTAGAGCGACACACACACGGCAGTATCACAGCTACACACACCTGGCAGTATTACAGCTACACACATGGCAGTATTACAGCTATCCACATGGCAGTATCACAGATACACACACATTGCAGTATTACAGCTACACACATGGCAGTATTACAGCTACACACACATGGCAGTATTACAGCTATCACACATGGCAGGCAGCTATCACATGGCTATCACACACATGGCAGTTATTACAGGCATGCACGCATCCACATGGCAGTATTACAGCTATCACACATGGCAGTATTACAGCTACACACACATGGCAGTATCACAGCTACACACACATGGCAGTATTACAGCTACACACACATGGCAGTATTACAGCTATCCACATGGCAGTATCACAGATACACACACATGACAGTATTACAGCTACACACATGGCATTATTACCGCTATCCACATGGCAGTATCACAGATACACACACATGGCAGTATTACAGCTACACACACATGGCAGTATTACAGCTACCCATATGGCAGTATTACCACTACGCACACACATGGCAGTATTACAACTACACATATGGCAGTATTACCGCTACGCACACACACACATGGCAATATTACAGCTACACACACATGGCAGTATTAGAGCTACACATGTGGCAGTATGACAGCTACACACACATGGCAGCATTACAGCTACACACATGGCAATGTTAGAGCTACACACATGGCAGTATTACAGCTACACACATATTGCAGTAATAGAGCTACACACATGGCAGTATTACAGCTACACACACACAAACACATGGCAGTATTAGAGCTACACACATGGCAGTAATAGAGCTACACACATGGCAGTATTACAGCTACACACACACACACACATGGCAGTAATAGAGCTACACACATGACAGTATTACAGCTACACACACATGGCAGTATTACAGCTACACACATGGCAGTATTAGAGCTCTACACTCATGGCAGCATTAGAGCTACACACACATGGCAATATTAGAGCTACACACATGGCAGTATTACAGCTTCCATTTGGAAGAACTATTTTATTTAATAACTGAAATATCTGATCACTAAGTTTACCTGGGGACGGTGGGGTAGCTTAGTAGTTAAAGCGTTCGCTCATCATGCTGCAAGCCCAGGTTTGATGCCCCACATGGGTACTATGTGTGAAGCCCATTTCTGGTGTTCCCTGCCATGATATTGCTGGAATATTGCTAAGACAGCTGTAAAACCGTACTCTCTATTTCTATCTCTCTAAGTTTACCTACAGTTGCACTCTTTCATGTTCTTGTTCATTATTCTCCCCAATCATGAAATGTAGGGAAATATAGTTATCATCATGTCTGGCTGTCTAAGCCAAACTATGACTGACTGCCATTTTTTTTTCATATTTAATAATTGTACTTCTTCATTGCCATAGGAAGTCCCAATTTGGCAGTGATGATCAACAGCTGATTGTAACATATATTCACCAGGTCACTTTATAATGGTTCACATTCCCCACTGAACGTGATGTGAAAAGTCTGTTCATGAATATATTAAACTAGGTGACATTCGACAAACTATAGCATTCTTCACTATTGATTTGGACTTAATTGTAGCTTTTACATTTTGCAAACACAACTGTCAAAACATGATTTGGAGGAATCTCCGTGACTATGCTTAATGTGTTTTGGATTGTAATTTGCCAGTCAGACCCTGGGTCCCTGAGTAATGGCTACTCGTCTCGTGATGAATCTCTCTCCCCTGCTGATCTCCCCATCCTGAACGGCAGCGGCCATACAGCCACCAACGGCAGCGGCAACTGGCGAGACGTCAACCGCGGGCACTCAAAGTCAGCTGTGGTTCCCCGCATGTCAAGTAAGCTATGTTGGAAAATACTACCTGTGTACATGACACACTGCAGTTATTCTCTGATGTTTACCCACTTGTTGGGATTCTGAGGTAGAACAGGTCCCCCCCAAAACCACGTGTCTGGTGCAGATATTAGATTATTTGTAGGCTGCCATTATATAGCTGTGATATTGCTGAGTGTAGTGTTATACAGCAAATCTGATATTTACCTAAATGATGGCAATAGATTTTTAGCTGATTTGGAAATGATTGGAAAATATCTGTTTATGCATTGTTTTCATTTAGACAATAGACAGTGAACTTTTGATATGTGCTATAATCACAGAGGTTGTGATAAAATGAACAATCTACTCATGTTAGAATGTCTTCAGAGCCAATTTGACTGAAAAGAAAATATCTAAATTGAAATGTTACTGTGAGGGCAAGAGAAGTTCTAATGAATAACTATGAGTATTCACAAGGAAAGCTCTCAGTGTCTTAAAAACAAACCATTTGTTGTAAGTTTATGCTAAAATGATAGACATATTGGAAATTGTTTTTTTTATGAAAGTTTGCATTTTTTGGTTGAAAGCTTCAGTCTCAGGCAAACGTCACACCCCTGTTAAGCGGCACCACTCAGCAGGGGACATGTTGGTGACCAATTTCCCCACCACTGAAAGCGACCGACTGCAGAGGCCCAAGTCTGAAGGCCATGCCTACTGTCGCCAGTTCCTCTCCAAGCGAACCTCTAGTTATGGGGTGAGTATTCAGGGAGCCATCTTTACAAACCTAGCTGATATATCCGGGTAAGAATTGGTCTTCAGCTACCCATGCTTGACGTACAAGGCGACTAATGGCATCGAGTGGTCAGGCTCACTGACTTGGTTGACACATGTCATTGTATCCCAATTGGGTGGATCAGTGCTCATGCTGTTGATCACTGGGTTGTCTGATGCAGACTTGATTATTTCCAGACTGCCGCCATATGGCTGGAATATTGTTTAGTACAGTGTTAAATAATAAACAACAACCACAAAGTATTATTCTTAATTAAAGAAGAAATCTCTAAATATCCTATAGTCGAGTTGTGACATGAATCATTGTATTAGTATATCACCGAAACACCTTGTCAGTTTGAGATTAGAGCATTTGCATAACTGGCAATGTTTTCCCGTGTGGTAAAAATTATACCTTCCTGATAATCTGCCCTTTTTGAACCTATTTTTCAGGGCAGCTTGAATAAGGAAATCATTTGAGTTCATTAGTTCACTTTACTGTTTGTTAACATGCAGATGTCCTTCATCATTTTGTACTTGTTATATGGATGAAGAACAAACTTAGGTGCCAACATTGCAGAAACTGGGGTGCCTCTAGCTATGGAGTCAATAGGAAAATAATGCTGAGGACAGTAGCAAGAAATCTCTATTTGACATTGTGTGATTTGTATCAGTGACGTGCAAATGTTTCAGGGTCAGTCTCCGTTTGGCCGAGCAGACTCCTACCATAAACTGGAGCAGCTCGGCGAGGGCTCATATGCCACTGTCTACAAAGGTATTAGCAGGTAGGTGTTTCTGATTTGTACGTCATCACACCCAGTGTGAATAGTCTGATCTGTGCTATCTCAGATTATTGGCTGACAGATGGAGAAGTGCTTAAATCTCTTACCTCACCCAAGGCGTTTTTATACATGAAGTGAGTCTTTCTTATACAAGCCCCAGGTCTGTGAGGATGTCCCCAGTTATGCTGTTTGCAAGAACTGACTCAGTGGATCTGGTGATCAGACTCAGTGAGTTGGTTCATTCTGTGTCATCATGACTGGATGATATGTATCTTTGGCTGTTCTGTATATGATTGTCTGGCACGGATTCTGTTATTTACCTTTCACCCTCATAAATCTGGAATAATGCTGTGTGTTAGGGACGAACAAGCCAAATAATGTGTTCTGTACCTAAAAATCTCAGAGAATAACACGTTTACTAAGCCAGGAAAAACATTACAGGTGCTACATTGGACCGTGTGCACTTGCAAACATCACATATACTATTCACAATTTGCTTAGGATCAAATCATGGATTCAACAGAAAACTATTATGTGGGGTCAAATTTGGTTTAAATACCTAAGCTTATTGTAAGCATGAATCCTAGGTTTCAGTATGTCATTGCATCTTGTGGATCCCATACCTTCTTTTGACATGTGTTGTTTATTTTTCAATGATTTGCAAAATGATTGATTGGTGCCATGAAAACCATTTTTTATGGTTACTCATGTACCAACTGCATACGGTTCAATTAAAGTGGCAGTTTGCCTAAAGAGGAGTTACCATATTATTATTGATCCAGTTTTAAATGGATACAATTTCAAATTATAAATCTTCGTTTAAGTAAAGTTGTGAAGTTTTGCAAAGTGTGAGTAGTATAGTTTGGGGCCATAGTAGGTCCAGTACTTGTTGTGAGAGCTGCTTTGTGCAAAGACGACCAAAAGTCTGTTTAAACTAGAAAGCTTTAATAGAACATTTGGCACTTTAAAAAACGTTTGGCACTTTAATAAACATTTGGCACTTTAATAAAAACATTTGGCATAACATATATACAATATATTCATGGGGGCTTCTCGGCTGCTAATAATGAAAGGTGTACTGTGGACACGAGTATGGCAAATAGCGTCCTGCGGACGATACAGTGGTAATTGATGTCCTGCGGACAATGCATTGTGGAAGCTGAATACCCTGCGGGTATGATTGGATAAAGCTGGACGCTGCGCCCACCAGTGAGATATGGAATTGTTTGGGGGCTAACAAACCATGCAATGCGTGCAAGCCATGTAATGGTTTGAAAGCCTGATGGGTTGTTAGGAGCCGAGAAGCCCAAGGTGGCGAATGAGGACGGATGGAGGGTAATAATTTGAACTTGGCAGCGCAAGGGTAGGCGTGAAATGAGATCGAGGTTTCTCCTAATTTGCATACATGTGTAAACATATGACGTCACCCATACAAGAATAGTGCATTATGGGTGTACAAAATAGTTTGGTACGAATTTACATGCAGGAATATAATACATGGAAGTTGTTGCAAACAGTTGTAAATATAAAAGAAAGATAGTAAACGTGTGGAATGACATGTAAACGATGTTTGAGGAAATATAACGTTTAGACTTAGGTAACCGAAAGTAGCTACAAAGCATGTTACGAGATATATTAAACGAAGAGGAAATAACTGAGCGTGATGGTTAATACTTGAGTAAGAATTGAACAATATAATGTGATATAGTTGATATAACATTTAGCAAGGGATGTAGGTAAGGAGGATGCATAACATAGACTAAATTTTTATAGAAGGTAAATACATAAGGTTACCGAAGTAAGTACTGTATGTGGAACGGACAAGCGTGAAAGCCACGAATAGATATATCCGATGACGTACGCTGTGTGAGATAAAGTCATCTCTGCACAAACAAAAATATATAAATTTACATTTTAAATGAGAATGACAGTCTGGGGTTCCAGTGTGTGGCCGTCGTAAGATGCAACTAACGAGGCGTAACTAACTTGGTTGACACATGTCATCACATCCCAATGGTGTAGATCGATGCTCATGCTGTCGATCACTGGATTGTCTGGTCCAGACTCAATTATTTACAGACCGCTGCAATATTACTGAGTATGGCTTTAAACATCAAACAACCAACAGTGTGTGACCTGGGTCCCGAGCCACAAAGCGTCCGTACCGTTACGACCTGTCGTAACTCTATAGTTTATCATATATGCATAGGCTTACGAATGACGTAGCTCAATGAACGCTTTGTGGATAGAGACCCAGCCTGATATCATTGTAGTTTGTTGCTTGTGCTATCATCCACTAATTTGACGGCCGAGGGTCCATTAGTTTCTATTTGCTTGAATATTACTTCAGTGTAACACACATCATTTCACTCATTCACATACAGTAACCTACATTTATAACACATTCAAAGGGACCACTAAGTTTAGTTATAACTGAGGTTCATGACATACATATCAACTAGAATGTGCAGCAAGTGGCTGGGACTCAAGTATATGGTTTGTGATAAATGTAGTTTACTGTACCTGAAAGAGTTCATCTGTAGCCTTGGAGTCTTCTGAATGGAATCCCAGAAGTTACACAGGTATCGATTTCACTTTATCCAGGCTGCACCAGAGCAGGTAAATTATTGCTAGTGCGGGTTACCTTGTCAGGTTGCACTCAGTGCAGGTATCAGTTTCTAGGACAAGTGCAGGTATCAGTTTCCATGACAAGTGCATGGCAGCAGTTTTATTGGTATAAATTTCAAGCATTAAATAAATCTTCTCCTATCGAGTATATCAGGTGAATCAATTACCACAACTCCCCCAAATGTCTGTTGCTCATTAATCAGTTCTTCTGACATTTCATGTAAGGGCAAATGTCACTGTGTAATACATCACTTGTAATGGTGGACAAGCGGAAAGGAAATTAAATTTATGAATGAAACTGTCTGTTAAAAAGCAACAATCTATCAAAACGTCCTTCCAGACATCGAGTAATCTGAGCGTTTCTGGAGGTAATCAAGGTGGTTATGAATATCTCTCTAACTCTGCTGACACAGAATCGTTTGCTGTCAGTGGCAGTGATACGACTGTTTATAACATGGTTAAAAACTCATTAAATATCTTGGTTGTACCTGGTGCAAGTGGTGAACAAATATGAAATCGTTCCCTGTTTTGGCTTTGGTTTGTCATCCCAATTCCGGGGAGGTGGTGTAGCCTAGCTGTAAAGGTGTTTCTTCTTTCTGTTTCTATAAAGCTACTGGGGTTTGACATCATTCAGTTTAGGTGTAGCCTAGTCGTTAAGGCGTTCGCTCGTCATGCCGAAGACCCGAGTTCAATTCCCCACATGGGTACAATGTGGGAAGCCCATTTCTGGTGTCCTCCGCCGTGATATTGATGGAATATTGCTAAAAGTGAAATAAAGCTAAACTCACTCACTCACTCACTCACTCAATCACAATTCCTCACCCACATGGTTGGTGTCCCTAGGCCTCAATTTGCCTGGAATATTACCACCAGCAACAAACTAATTCCACTCACTCACTCACTCTTCCATTGAAAATGTGTTGCTAAGTCATACATTATCATGCCCCAGCTCATATGAATCTCACATCATGAAATACATGTACCCCGGTATGTAGAGAGGCCCATGCTGACCTCTATCACTGAGTATGATGTTATCCTGCAGCTTGTCTGTGTCTTGTATTGCAGCCTGAACAATCAGGTTGTGGCCCTGAAAGAGATACGTCTTCAGGAAGAAGAGGGTGCACCTTTCACTGCAATAAGAGAAGGTGAGATGGAGGATCGTAGTTGAGAATCATAGGTCAACACATAATGTTTTTACCCCACTTGGGGATATACTCAGTGAGAATCCAGGGATGAATATTGGCCTTACTATCACATGGTTGCCACAAGAGCTGACACAACATGCTTGGATGGTCAAACTCAGTGACATATTTGTATGTCATAGTGCCTTGATTGTCAGGTCCAGATTTGTATAAATTTGCCTGTTCCTACTGACAATAAATCAGTTATCCTTAAAAATATTTTAATGTAACTGCTTTTAGTATTGTTTAGTCCAATTACAGAAAAAATTGCAGGCTTTATGTAAAACCCAATTTTACATGTACATCGGTTGTTGAAGTAGCATTCAGAACTGTAACAGATGGTTACATCATGTTCATGGCCAGATGGCATTGTATTGAGGACACACAGCAATGATGCACTACACAACCTATAGTATTGATAGACAATAATATAAGGTCTCTTTCTTCCCTTTATAAGAGCTTCCCCAGTAATTTATTGTTGAATTTGGCATATGTGTCTGGCTTTGTTATATATTATATAATGGGAATTTTTTCTTTTAACTTTTGTGATTTAATTACAGAAATACTAACGCAGGTTGTTTGTGAACTTAATTATCATGCGGTTGTTTCAGCGTCTTTGCTGAAAGGTTTGCGTCACACCAACATCGTTACTCTCCATGACATCATTCACACCAAGGAAACACTCACTTTTGTATTTGAATATGTGGTGAGTTGACTTGTCTTATGATCATTACATATGGTGGCCATGTTGTCTGATGGATTGCACTTGGATGTGCAGAGTTGCCTCCCTTAGTTAGCACGGGAACCTTCATCATTGTGGGAGTTCTCAAACCTGAAGCGAAAACTCAGTGATCTAAGTGTGATACTGTTCAAAGAAGCATTACACCAAACCATTCTTGTGTTTTACTAGACTACTTTTGTGTGATGAAAATAATAGCAAGCCAAGGTGAATCTCCATCAGTTTAGTTACCCGTGAAGATCCGGGTTAGAATTGGTCTTCAGTAAGCCATGCTTGTCGTAAGAGGCAACTAAAGGAATCGGGTGGTCAGGTTCACTGACTTAGTTGGCACATGTCATTGTATCCCAGTTGCGTAGATCGATGCTCATGATGTTGATCACTGGATTGTCTGGTCCTGACTTAAGTATTTACAGACTGCCGCCATATAGCTGGAATATTGCTGAGTGCAGCGTAAAACTACACTCACTGACTCCATCAGTTTAGTTGGAAGATGCCACACTTCCATTTTGTTGAGATTATATTTTCTCAGAAGAGCATATGTGGTTTGTCTGTATGGTTGTTCATGGTATCAACCACTGGTTTACCTGGTCAGTGACTGTCTTCTTCCTGTAATGCTGTTTACTTGTGAACCAGAACAAGTTACTAATCATTTAATGTTAGAGGATAGTCAGTTACAGGGCTTTTGTTCAAAGTCAATGTTTGTAAGAACTTTTGCACATTGGAGTAGATTTCATATGCGCATATTCTTCATGTTGTGCAGTGTCACCAAAATGTTTAATTGGAATGCACCTTTTTCTTTCAGCATACAGATCTAAGTCAATATTTAGAAAAGCACCAGGGTGGCTTAAACCCATTCAATGTGAAGGTGAGAGCTATGGTCTTGTATTGAACAGGTGTAAGCCTACATTCAGTGAAATTGGTACAATGTAACAGGGAAACATCTCGATATAACAGAATTTGGAACTGATTGTCAGCAATAAAAGTCAGTAGTTTCATTTTGTCTAAAATATTAATTTATTACACATCCAGTCAAATCACTCCAGGATAAATTAGAAATTAATTGTTTCTTATATCAAAGATCTTTTCAGTATTATTATAACATTTTACAGATCAAGGGCAGGTAACTCTGTACATTTTCACTTACACCAACACATATATTGCTCTGAACCGTTACATCCTTTATTCTGTGTATCATGAAGTGTATTATTCATACATTAGCAGCAATGTTTGTCCCTGCTAGGGATGAGAATGACTTCATCATATATAGTTTCCTCACTTACACCAACACATGATGTGACAGACAAATCATTGCAGTTTCTACCCCCCTTGTCCCTAAACCATGTGACAGTTTGTGTTATATATTTCAGCTGTTTTTGTTTCAACTGCTGCGGGGTTTGTCCTACTGCCATGAAAGGAGGATTCTACACAGGTGCGATTCCCTCAGTTCACTGGTAGGTGATGTAGGCTGGGGTCTGATGGGAGATTGAGGTGTTATAACTGGTTATCTGCAATCTTTCTGTTTCTATAAAGCTAATGGGGCTTGACATAATTCAGTTTGATATTTAACAAAATCTAACCTAGATTTAACCATTATTTTTTCTTCAAATGCTATTGTTCAAATGCTAGGTGATCAATTAATTGTTTTGGCTGCATGAGTTTATGCATACAATGTACACTGACTCTGGTAGTAACTGCATACTTCTTCACATTAAATTGGTGATAGAGTGTGTTAAAAGTGTTCTTCATTTGGTCTTTGTGTGAATTAGATAATCCGCACACTCATTCTCAGACAAAAGTTGTACCCAAGGACATGTAGCCTTCTGAAAACATCAGACTGACTGTTTGTATATGACAGTAGAAATGAAATCATGAAATTTAAGTTCACAACATTACATAAACATTTGTACTGTGGGAACATAAGCATATGTTGTGTCAGCTGTATTGTGTCTCTGTAATGATCTGGTTCATTATTGAATCTCTCTCACATATTTCCATGTATTTGCAGGGACCTCAAACCCCAGAATCTTCTCATCAGTGAGATGGGAGATCTCAAACTAGCTGACTTTGGTAAGTCTGTCTCATTCCGATACAGGACCTTTATAAAAGAGTAAGCAGATGCAAGTGTGTACAGTAAGATCCTGCTTTCTATACAATGTGTGAAATTTATGCTGGTCCTGTGATCCCTGGCTAGTTAAAATTCATCAGGACCACTAAATGATAAGTTTGCAGTGGTCCTTGTGGCTAGTGAATTTTGTATTGATAGTTAAGTAAATCTATGGATGTTATTTTGGATCAGTTAAGTACAGACAGGACCACTAATTATTGTCCACTCACTGGTCCTGTGGTCTAGTGGGAAATTTTGAAAGGTTTCTGTCCCTGCTATGAACACATCTGTATGTTTGTAGGTTTAGCAAGAGCTAAGTCCATTCCTAGTCGAACCTACTCCCATGAAGTGGTCACCTTGTGGTACCGCCCTCCTGATGTGCTGTTGGGCTCAACTGACTACTCCACATCACTAGATATGTGGTAAGTAATGTTACCATGGTAACCACCAGATATCTATGTTTTTCAAATTTGTTAATCAATACATGTGCTTTTGGTGTCACACCATCAGACTAGTACAATTGTCAGTTTAAGGTGAGTTTAGTGTAAGAGTTAGTGCCGAGATAAATGGTGAATTCTGTAATATACGAAGTGAGATAGGTTCACACGAACATGTCACATAGATCTGCAGTGTTTTCCCATAACATCCATTGTTTCAAAATTACTTCTGATGATGTGCCAGGCAGTTTGGTAGCCTAGTGGTTAAAGTGTTCCGTTCCCCACATTGGTGACCTTCGCCATATAATGCTGGAATATTGCTAAAAGCAGAGTAAAACATTACTCACTCACTCACTGTGATGACTTGTCATTTGTGGTCAGTTAAAGTACATCTTACTTGCAGACTCAATAATTGGGGATATTTCATACCAAATCTATGTTAAAATCTACTGACCTCTGTTTTGATTTTGTTTGCATATGTTGAACTCTGTTGAAATCTGTTTTGACTGTCTGCTTAGCTGATTCTTATCTGCAGACCTTTGCTGCAATATGCTGCACAGTTGGCATATATAGAACCCTAACAGTCTGTTGAGGCCTTGTTTGTAGGTGATGCCATGGATTTAACTCAGATTGTATTCCACAGGGGCGTTGGATGCATCTTTACAGAGATGATATCCGGCCTTGCAACCTTTCCCGGTATGAAGGATGCCTTTGATCAGCTGGATAAAATATTCAGGGTATGCACACTTCATATGAAGCAAAATCCGTGAAGATTAGAATTAATGGTTGTTGTAAGAGGCACTGAATATGAGAGGAAGGTCAAGCTTGGTAACTTTTTTTATGTTTATCATTGTATCCTTAAGGAATAGATCGATGCTCATGATGTTAATCACTGGATTTTCTGATCCACACATGATTATTTGCTGTGAGGCACTTTCTTTTGTTTTAACTCGGCCTCATAGAAATAAAAAAAATGAAGAAATACTGTAGCAGAATTGTCATACCTCTGGACAGGTGACTTTTTGACAATGTCCTTGTGTTTTACTTCAACCCAGGCTTCTTTTTGGGTGTCCTTTAATAGATTGAGCAGTCAGATTCAATGGCATGGTTGGATATGTGTTATAAGAATGTACACAGACACAACATTCTGCTATGTGAGAAAGAGCTTTTTAAAACAACTTAAGAGTTACGTATACCCATTTTATCTGCCCAACATGTGCTATCACTTCCTGCTTTTCCTCCCCAGGTGCTAGGTACACCAACTGAGTGTACATGGGAGGGCGTGTCCAAGTATCCCCATTATGATACAAGTGAGTGTTCATCTTCTTCCCAGGTCCTTTTGTCCATACTGGGATGCTTGCTATGGATCCAGTGTTGTGTTTGACTGACGGAACCTAAAGTCAGTGAACATTAATGATAATAAATACATGCTGCTCAATGAGATGAAATGATAATGTTTCTTGCAATACTAATAATTTGCTTTTACCTTGTAGAAAAGTTTGGTGTGTTTGTGCGTCAGCCACTGTCATGTTGTATACCCAAGCTGTCCTTTGTACAACATGCTGAAGATTTAGCTGCTAAATTATTACAGGTAGGTTTCAGTCTTCACATAAAATATCTTATTTTTCCTTATCCTGACTCATGCTCTTTTGCTTGTCTTCTTCTTGCGAACATAGTGGAACACTTGTATCTCCTTAATTGAAGCTCCCTTCAATGTAAAATCACTAATTGGTACTCACCCAAGAGTTGCCTCCCTTGTCCCCAGCGCTGGAACAGGTGTCGCCACCCTCTGGCCTCATGCTTCACTCTCTCTCCTTCTTAAGCCCAGTGAGCAGGATGTGAGGCGCCTGTGTCTCCTTACACACTATATCCTTTGGTTTTTCTTAGTTAGTTACCTCTTATAGTTTACTATAAAGGTATAGCTAGTATCCTTCATTAATTTGCATTGATAATTAATCGTATTTCTACTGTTTATTCACGTGAGTTCGTGATTGTTCAGCTAGTATTACGTTGATGAAAATCTGTACTATTTGTAGATTACGTTTTTCTGCTGCTGATCCGCATGTAGTATGCCCTAGTTGTTCTACGCCTTGTGCGTTTGATTCACGTTGCAGTTACTGCATTAATTTAACTAATTCTGCTTTTAATAAATACCATCTTTGCGTCTTGAGACGTGCTGCAGATAGGTCACGCAAACTAGGAGTAGACATGGCCGATACATCGGATTTCCCATCCAGTCAGCTGCTGTCGATCGACCCCCTCCCGCCTGGTGTTCTGCTTGAGACCCCATCGGAAGAGGGACGTGGGATGCAGTCCGTCACCTCTAAGAAGCGACCGCCTCCCCAGACATCCAGTCATCGCAGATAAAGTCCAAGAGGGCCTCAACGCTCTTCTCAAACGCAGACTTCGTACCCCAGGGCAGCGTCATCCTCCAAAGGGAAATCTCGAAGTCGCTCAAGAACTTTCTCAGCCGAGATCGTTCCAGCCGCAGAATTGGGCCTCTACGATGACCAGCCGATCATCATCCCCGACATACGCCACAAGAAGCGACCAGTGACAGCTACAGTGACTTCAGCAGAGATCACCATGCAGCCTGATGCCTCTACACTGATGTCAGACGAGATCTCTGAGGGCCCCACCGCTAACATCGCAGAGAGGGCACCATCTACTTCGTCGCAGATCATCCCAGACGATCTAATGAAGCAAATCATGATCATGATGGAAGGCCACTACAGACTGGAGAAGCAGCCAACCCAACGTAGAGCAGCACCCCAGAGGCACCCCAGGGGCAATCTGTCAACGTAGCAGCCACGACAATGCAGCCTTCGCTAAGGAAGTCACAGACCACCTCGACGGCGGACCCAGATGTACAGCCTTCGGCCTTCAGCGGGGAAGATCATCACCTTCTTCGGCGCCATCCTCAGATATGGAATCATCCCAGACCTCACGGAAGCCTTCGCTGGTCATATCACCGCTCCCCAGGACCGGACGCGAGGAAGCTTCGCTGGGCATTCGCGAAGGACGCCTGAACCCAGATCGTCATCATCTAGAAAGGCATCGAGGGACTACACAAGAGCTTCGCGGCTACCAACGGTCCCCTCACAGGTCTCCAAGAAGGTCAACCTATCGATAGATCACCAAGACGATCTCCTCGCCCGATCTCCACGCATCACCACGTCGATCACCTCACAGGTCTGCACACAAGCCTACAACCAGGTCTCCACAAGCGTCAACCGATATAGAGATAGAGCCACACAGTCCAACATCAGAAGAGCAACAACCTCTCATTAATGATGATGGAATGGAAGATGATGGAGGAATTATTTTCTCAGATGCAGAGATAAGATATTGGATGGTAAACAACCTAGATCTCTCATCACCTTCCAAGAGTGGCAACCCGGCGCAGACATACCTGATGAAAGAAGACGATGCAGATGCTGTCACACTACCCCCAATCGACCCGATTGCGGCGGTACCACAGAACCTAGATACAGCATTCCATAAAGCCACGAAAGTTCAGACACCACATCTGCCAAACTTTCACGCCAAGAAGTTCTCCACGCATAATATGGACCCCTTCTTCAAGGCTCAAGACATCGATGAGAACTACAAGCTGATCAGCGATGTCAAGAACAAGAACTACAAGATTGATGATCGGAAATTGGTTCAGATAGAAACCATGACGAGACGTATGTTCTTTGGTCTAAATAGATCTAGAACAATCAATGAGACACTTATCACCAGATTTCGTAACACGACCTCTGAAGATGATAGAATGATTTACTCGGCCCTACTGATGCAAAAGAAGGACCAGCAGTTCTTAACAGATCATCTCACATCTGTCTCAGCAGCACTGACCTTAGCTCGTCGTCAAGGCCTCCTCGCTTCCTGCAGCTGGGGTGAGAACTTTACAGCTCCACTATATACAGCCCCGTGGTCTTCCCCATCCATCTTTGACGGAGGAATAGACAAAGTCTCCAAGGAAGTCACTAAGGATTCCAGAGAAGTCCTGATGATTAAATCGATGGACACGCTAGCCAGTGTCATTCGACAGACTTCACAAAGATACTCAGGGAGATCTAAATTCACGGGTCTACAAAGAGCAAGAGACAGGAAGATAGCCAGTTCCAGGGGAAAAGATTCTTTTCGTCGCCCATATGGCAACTATAGAGGAGGGTCAGGAAGAGGCAGGACACCCAGAGGTTCCCGCAACTATAAACGCTGAAAGACAGGTTCGAACGACTGGAGTCTTCCACCCCAGCCGTTCCAGTACAACCATCACAAGTGGGTGGGCGCCTTCAACTACACTGGGAAAACTGGGGAATGCTTCAAGACACCTATGTCTCCAACATTCTTCAACACGGATTTCATGATCCCGCTACAGGCCAAGCCTCCACTGACAGTCAACCCTCACAAGTTCGACGTACAGGCACAGCAACTACCAAAATTAAGAGGCTGTTACATTACTCCTAACCAAGCAGGCCATAGAAGTAATAGATCAAGGAAACATCAAACCAGGTTTCTACTCCCCAGTTTTCCTAGTACCCAAGAAGAACTCCAAGGAGAAATACAGACTCATTTACAACATGAGCTTCTTCAACAAGACTTATTAAACAAACCACCGGGTTCTGCATGATACATCTACCGCGAGTTAAGGCACATGGTTCAGCCCCATGGACTACATGGGCAGTATAGATCTACAGGATGCATATCTGCACATCCCTATACATCCCGAATCCAGGAAATACCTACGGTTTACACTAGACGGGCTACATTACCAGTGGAAAGTACTCCCATTCGGAATATCATCAGCCCCATGGTTATTCACGAGGATAACGAAACCGATTGTCACCTATCTACATCGTCAAAGGGCTACGCGAGTGCGTTCTTCCTCGACGACGGGATACAAGTAGATCAAGATCCACAGCATCTTAAACTACAGTTAAACTACATCATAAAGCTACTAACACAGCTGGGATGGTTAGTAAACTTACTCAAGTCGGACCTAGTACCATAGCAAGATCTGCAGTTCCTAGGCATTCGATTTATCACCAATCTCAACCGTGATAGTCAGACCAGAAGACCGCTGGCTCAAGATCCAACAGACCATTCCACCAGCTCTACTCTCACCGCTACCACTTCCGACAATGGCAGAGCCAACTAGGTCTTCTAACATCAGCCCAAGACTTGACAGTCAGAGGCAGATTACAGTTACGTCCCTTACAGGTCTTCATCAACACACATCTCGACGACCTACAACCATTCAGTCTACCGAAACATCTCAGACCTCATCTACTATGGTGGACCAAGGAATCGAATGTCTGCGAAGGGATTTGTTTAGCAGAGCAGGAATTCAAAACCCATCTATATGTAGACGCGTCGCTCCAAGGTTGGGGAGCTCATCTCACCAACCGGACGGCATCAGGGTTATGGAATCAGCTAGAAAGCAAGCTCCATATAAACTTATTAGAGATGAAAGCTGTAATCAACGCCATACTGCATTGGAGCACCATTCTACAGAATGCGCACCTAATGATTCATACCGACAACTCGACAGTGGCGTTCTATGTGAACAGGCAAGGCTCAACGAGATCACCGAACCTTTTGACTTTAACCTTTCAACTGTTCGAATTAATCCAAGATCTAAATCTACATGTCAGAGCATGCCACATTCCCGGAGCCAGGAATATACTAGCAGACGCTCTCTCGCCACATCTACCGTCGCCCGACAGAATGGATGCTCAATACAGAGATATTTGCACAGATAATCAAGCAAATAGGGCGCCAGCTAGTAGATCTATTATTCGCCACAAGATTCAACAATCAGCTACCGACATCCGTGTCACCAGTGCCAGACCCACAAGCATGGGCAACGGACGCTCTAAGCATATCATGGAAGGCCTCAATGCGTGCACGCGTTTCCGCCGCCAGCAATAATACCTCAAGTATTACAGAAAATCAGTCAAACACAGAGCCTACAACTCACTTTGGTCGCCCTACTGGCCGGCCAGAGCGTGGTTTCCATTCTAATACAAGAAATCGGTCAACCGGCACTAGAACTACCTAAGCTCAAATCTGTTAATACATCCACACACCAAACAGGTGCACAGAAACCCAGAAGTATTCAAACTTCACGTATGGACTGTATTAAAATGTGTTTAAACAAGAGAGGATATTCTACCAGGGCGGCAAAAGCGGTCACGCTTGCCTTACGATACTCAGCACTCGTAATCTTGTAACGATGACAAGTGGCAAAGTTTCAAAATTATGCAACAAACAAGGGATTTACAGCGAGAGATGCTACGCATCCACAAGTGGCAGATTATTTGTGTTACTTACGGCAAAACAAACATTTAAAAGGCTCGACATTGTCAACATATCTTGCCGCGCTTAGTTCTGTGATTTCTATGAGAACGGGTGTTAAATTGACAAAAACACCAGAGTTACTGGCCTTACTACGTGCTTTCCGATTGGAGGACCAAAAGCGGAAGTTCCACGCCCCAGCTTGGGATCTGAATGTAGTGTTACAACACCTCACAAGTGAGGATTATGAACCATTGGAATCGACAACCTTTGAATTTCTCTCACAGAAAACAATTTTCCTGTTATCTCTAGCCACGGCAGCCAGAATGTCTGAAATTCACGCTCTAGATTATGAGAGGATACAGTTTGATGACAATCAAAACACAGCGCACCTGGGATTAAGATGGGATTTCATCGCCAAAAATCAACTACCAGGCCAACCAGACAGGTTATTTCACGTCCCTGCACTATCCTCGATTCTCGGATCTCAAGATACATTGGACTTATCGCTATGCCCAGTCCGAGCTCTCAAAATCTATTTACGTCGTTCCAAAACAAGGCGAAGATTTCTCAAAAGATTGTTCATCCCTTTATCGCCTACTAATCAGACAGAAGTCTCTCGTACCACCATATCTATATGGATAAGGACTGTCATTCTCTGGCGCCTACAAGGCAGCAGGACTGGACCCTCCAACAGCATCAAATCCCCATGAAATCAGGGCATTGGCTTCCACTCTCGCCCCTACACGGTAACTGTTCATTGAATACAATTATGGAAGGATGCTTCTGGAAATCTAACATGGTGTTTGCTAATCACTATCTGAGAGATATCACCACCGAGGACGTCTCTGGCATTCACCATTTCGGTCCTTTGGTCCTCGCTCAGCAGCTGACAGTCCCTCGTAGGCGTTAATATTCACTCCCACGAGATTATTATGTATATTATACATACATTATTTAGCTTATAACTCTACGGAGTTCTAGGGCTATGTATATACTTAGCTTAGGTTATTCAACCTTAAGCTCATACTGAGTTTTATGTTCAGTTGTACAGCTTCTCTATCAGAGTAGCTTTTATTTTATTTATATATCTTGATATATCAGTATATGAGTAATGTAATACCCCAGTTATGGTAATATATAACCTATGGCTTTTATAGAGGAAATATCCTAAGTCAATGCCTTTATGAAGTTCCCAGAGGGGTTATTACAGTATAGTTATTTAAATCACTAATTATAAATCCAAAGTATTCTGTTTCTGCCCACCTCCTCTCCGGAGGATTCTACAAGTAAAGAGCATGAGTCAGGATAAGGAAAATATGTAATTTTCTGGAGTAAAATTGATATTTTATACTTATCCTGACTCATGAGGTCAGCCCCTCCCATCCTCCCCACATAACACTTTGGATTTCCTGTAAATTCAAGTGTTGGGCTCGCAAAAATCAGGAGAGAGTGAAGCATGAGGCCAGAGGGTGGCGACACCTGTTCCCGCTTACGACAAGGGAGGCAACTCTTGGGTGAGTACCAATTAGTGATTTTACATTGAAGGGAGCTTCAATTAAGGAGATACAAGTGTTCCACTATGTTCGCAAGAAGAAGAAGACAAGCAAAAGAGCATGAGTCAGGATAAGTATAAAATATCAATTTTACTCCAAAAAATATCTTATTGTTGTCTTTTATGGATTGACCTTTCATTATGAATGGAGAATATTCAACATGCTGATAGATGACTTGATGCTAGGAATAATGAAAAATGAAGCAGTCTGTCACAGTTGTCATTGTACTTGCTGTGTTCTGATGTAATAAATCATAGTCATGATGTTATTATGCAGATGGAACCATGTCGTCGTCTGTCTGCAAAGTTGGCGATGAAACATGACTACTTCCGGGACCTGCCTCCAAAGATACATGACCTCCCTGATTGTACGTACACAGCTGGGCCACAATACAGATCCACCAAGAAATGAAACATTGTTTCTGGTTGTAAAACAGATTTATAGTCCACTGTTGGATACAGTTTGGTTATGCTAACAAAGTGAAGATGTTTGCTGCTTCATGTTTACAGTATTTTCGTTATTCTAAAAGAGTGAAAATGTATCACTGTCACTGACCATAGTCACTAGTTTGATTTGACATGTCTGTACTCAGTTACCATTGAGGATCCGGGTTAGAAATGATCTACCGTTAGCCATGCTTTGTTGTAAGAGGTGACTAACAGGATCAGGTGGTCAGACTCGCTGACTGGGTTGACACGTGTCATCGCATCCCAATTGTGTAGATCGATGTTTATGCTGTTGATCCCTGGATTGTCTGGTCCAGATCCGATTATTTACAGTCCGCCGCCATGTAGCTTGAATATTGCTGAGTGCGGCGTAAAACTAAACTCACTCACTCACTCTATACTCAGCATCTAGACAACCTCCTGTGAGGCTTCTGTTAGTATCTCACCTGACTGAAAGTCAAGTGGACATATTTGTAGCCTGTTTTCCATCAGTCGTTAACTTGATTGAGGATTTTACCAAAGTGGGAAATGTCTAAATTCTGCATCACTTTATGCTGTCCACGACTTGTTCATGGATAATATTACTGAAGTACTGTTAATACGCACTGTCTCTTTCCGTCGACAGCTGCCTCTGTGTTCAACATTCCTGGGCTGAAGATGCTACCGGAGATGGATGAAGTGGTCTCCAAGAAACCTACCGGACGCAGTGGGATACGGACAACGCTCAAGGTGGGACGCTAACAGAAGAATGTTTGATACACTGAACTCAAAGCTAATTTTTAGTGCAAGTGTGTTTATGTTGTTCCCACATCTATATACTTAGTCATCGGTTTCACTGACTTTGTTCTGCTTCAGTATCTGCCTCTGCTAGCTCTACTGAGGTCACTGGGGCGGTGGGGTAGCCTGGTTGTTAGAGCGTTCGCTCGTCACACTGAAGACCCTGGTTCGATTCCCCATATGGGTAGAATGTGTGAAGCCCATTTCTGGTGTTTCCTGATGTGATATTGCTGGAATATTGCTAAAAGCGGCGTAAAACTCAACTCACTCACTACTGAGGTCATGAGGGAGATATGATATAACATTTCTAATGTTCAACCTACTAAGCTAGATACTGCTGTACATATTACCCTTCCCCAATTGCAAGTTATTCCAGAGCTTTTCCTCTACTGATGATGACTCTCGTGGGGGATTTACCGACAGTTTGGATCATATGGACCAAATAGACAATCCAGATTCTCCAGTGGGAATGCTGTCTTTCATAAGTCTCCGATCAAGGTTATGATGATTCATTCTCAGTATCAGATAAATCTCCTCTGTAGGAATTCAGCTTTGGGTTTGATATTGCAGAAATGATCGAAGCCATTTCTCACTTCGTACCTTAAGTCAGACTGCCTTCAGATCACGGAAAGGCCTCCTCAAATGCCAGAGTACGAGGCCCTATGACCTCTACTCATATCCATCATGCTGTAACATGGCCCAGCTCACCCAGCAAATACTCAATCACTTAATCAATGGAACAAACCTGGGCTTGATGACAGACTCTCGTTGCCTAATCTAAAGAGCAGGATGAATAAGACTCAGTATTCACTGTTCCCTGAATCTACACCCATGGATTAGAATCCTTTCAAGTTACTTCAGGACCCAAATTTGAAATTACAACTCCCTCCAAATAGGGTCAGAGGCTTTACTGCTGCTAAAATGCTATGGAAACTGGAGGTTATGTTGACTGGTTCATGGTAGAAATACGTCATGCTCTCCTTTTACATGTTTCCTTTACTGATATTCAGCCTCTGACCCCTTTCTCGCTGAGATACCGTAACCAAGTCAGACTTATTCATAGTCTCCTCAACGCAATAGTACATCTGCAAGAGAATGTACTATCCACAAAAGTGTGGACTGCCTTGCATTTATTAGGCTACATCAGCAAATTGTAGCTCAGATCAGCTCAGTGTATATTCAGAAATGGCTTAGAATAGTGGCCATGGAATGATTTCAAGTCTCTTCTATAAACCTGTCAGGGAAAGCACATAGTTCATTGTGTTCTTGTAAGGCCAAGGATTCGTCTCAGAGAGAACCACCTCGTACAACTTTCATCAATAAACTCCATTCAAACGTCTCTGGACTTGATACTGAGAAGAATACCAAGTTGAGAATATTGAGTTGGACATGGAAGACACACATTGATCATGTGATGCCAGTTGTCATCGTCAGCTGTCCTCTGGTCTAACATCACTTTACCGACTCGTCAGACTTGGGTTAGAGAGTTCATACAAACAATCAGAGTGTAAGGAAGCTTCATTGGAAAGATCTGCTTCGCAGTTCTTCAGTTTTGATTGTTGCAGACATGTCCATGGTAGCTTATATTCTGAACAATGGAGAACCAGGACCACATTCCTGATGACGGTAACATCTTGTATATTTGCACCCTTTAAGGTCCGGGTTAGAATTGATCTTCAGTAACCCATGCTTGTCGTAAGAGGCGACTAACGGGATCGGGTGGTCAGGCTCGCTGACTTGGTTGACACATGTCTTCGGTTCCCATTTGCGTAGATTGATGTTCATGCTGTTGATCACTGTATTGTCTGGTCCAGACTCGATTATTTACAGACTGCCGCCATATAGCTGGGATATTGCTGGGTGCGGCGTAAAACTAAACTCACCCACTCACATGTATATATGCCTTGACTCACCCGTACAACTGTCAGATGGAAGCAAGATAATTTGCAGGAAAACATTCTAGCAGACCTCCAGCCTTTTCTTGAAGGACAGTATTGTAGCCAGGGAATTGACACTTCATCTGGACATGTTTGCTTGGATCACCAATTTATGAGACACTCGCCATGTCAATCTATTTGTCTAAACAGTCAGGTACCTGTTAACCAATCTGTTTGTGACATGTCTAAACAATCAGCTACCTGTTAACCAATCTGTTTGTGACATGTCTAAACAATCAGCTACCTGTTAACCAGTCTATTTGTGACATGTCTAAACAATCAGCTACCTGTTAATGTAAGCCAGTAACTGATCCAACATCATTCCATCAGATGCTGTGTCTGTGGGCCGGACATGGATGTTTACTTGCGCTTTCCTACCTTGGGCTCAACGGGACAAAGGTGACATGGACTTTGTGCATGCTCATTGCGATAGCTCCAATCTGACCCAGGAGACCATGGTTTCCAGTATCCGTACTCATGGAAGAGTTATTAACGTTGCCCCTAAAACAACCTTATGTTTGTTTAAACAAATGTAAGGAGTCTTCATTAAACTGCCTGGAAGATAGTGTGGACAAGATGCAAGAATCTGGATTTTCTGGATCTGCATCAAATCCTAAGACCAGATATAAGTTAGGCATTTTTATAGCGCCTTAATCCATAAAAATGCTCAAAGGCTCTTAGCCTTATGCTCTTTTGAACATGAGGGTTTTCAGTTCAGATCTGAAACTTGTGATGTTGGTATTGTCACGTAAGTAGGCTGGAAGTTGGTTCAACAACACAACTCCTGCTTTGCAGAATGATCTATCTCCATGTGTGACAGTACGTGTGACTTGGACAGTAACTAAGAGAGTTGACATAGATTGTAATGTCCTCCTTGGCTAATAGGGAGTGATGAGCTCCTGGATGTATTCTGGAGCAAGGCCATTTAGTGCCTTGAAGACAAACATTAGCAGTTTGAATGCAATCCTCGCCCTGATAGGCAGCCAGTGTAGTTCCTTGAGTACAGGTGTTATATGCTCGTACTTCTTTGTGCAGGTAAATCACTCTCGCTGCTGAGTTTTGTGTTCGCTGAAGCTTGTCCAAAATGCTGCTTCTGCAGCCAAACAAAAGGCTGTTGCAGTAATCAAGGCTGGATGTTACAAAGGCATGAAGAAGGGATTTGACATCTTCCTGGTTCATGTATCGGGATATTTGGCCGACACGACAAAGTATTGAGCTCATAGTCAAAGTTAAATTGAATCAGAGCTTGAGATTTGTTTTGTTCTACGGTACCTTCCCAATCATCCTTCACTGTGTGAACAGAATACAAGTTGGAAAAAAGTGAAGTGTTTCTGACTTCTCACACTGAAGTAGCTGTAGGCTGAAGATCCTATTAAGGGTACAACTATTTATGTATAGCTGACAGTGAAGAGGACTTCAGTTGAAAATCTGAACCTTAGTTTTAGTGTGACTAGATCCCAAAATACAGGATTTGTGACAATGAAGCAACAGAGGTACTATTCTCAGAATCTTAAACAATGACAATTTTTTGTTCAATATCTGTACATCTATATTGTGCAAATGTTTGGTGATTTAGTTTAGTAGAGTCACACATACCACTATGGAGCGAATAAAATCATGTGCATGCTTTTTATATGTTCTTCATACCCTCAATGGATATTCCTGTACAGAATATTGGATTTGTAAGCACTTCTGTTACAAACCTGACTGGAAGAAAATTCTGAATACCACCTGTCCATGAATAGGGTTAGGTTATGAACAATCTATTCTAGCCTGGATTTCCCTTTTGAGTTAAAACTTGAACCCCATGTGAATCTTGTTTTTATGCACTATTTTATATTGCAGGCAAAGCAAGTAGATGTACACCCGAAGCAGTCAGCATGAGACTAGAGAAGATGAAGAGTAGCCTGTATAACCCTATGAGAGGACTTCCGAGTGTAATATAAACTGTGTGTTAACACGGTGTCAACACTGTGTTAACAGAGCGTGCTAAGCAGTGAGAGTGTGGAGAGCGAGAGAGAGAGAGTGTACAGATTTCACTGTGTTCATGTTGTCGCTGTTCGTAACAAGGCAGGAAACTCTTGTACATAGATTTTTTAGAACTCAGAGAACACATCTGCTGAAATCTCTCTTGTGAAATGGAGATGACTGGACCAGTAAGAATTCCTTTCCTTGACAATACATGAATTGAATTTCCGTTTAATACTGAAACAATACTGTTTGAAGAACCTAGGTATTGACTTTGACCTTCAGATGTTTTGACCTTGATCGTTATGATGTCATTGTTGGGAAGATTTAGACTCATTAAACTAAATGACATTATTGTGAACCATAAATACATCATATAGCACTATATCAAATTAATATCTGTTTGAAGTTCACGGTAATTAGTCAAGAGGTTTGAGGATTTGTCTTCTCCTTATGTAAATACAAGACTGCAGAACAATCCAGCCAAAAAACTGTTGTTGCTACATTCCCACCCTCGTCAGTGTCTAGGTGGTAGACAGTGTCTGTCTGTACGTACATGCATCTGTTTGTCTGGCCATCAGTAGTAGCTGCAAAAAATGGGAGGGGCGTTCTCTGTTGTAAGCAATTTGTGTTGAGACACTGACATACTGTGGGAAGACCCATCCGTCATGTTACCATGGATACAGACACATCTGATGACCAAGCAGATAAAACTATTCTGATACAAAGTGAAGGCTCAAGCGGATGTCATCAGTGAATTTTCATTTGTATTCTTTCCTGCTAAGGGACTCCTGAGGAAATCAGATATGTACTGAATAGTTTCTTTAAGAAAGTATCAATGTGTCAAAATGTCAAGATAATGCTTTTATGTGACTTTTTAGTTTGTTTTCACATTTGTCATGAAGTCTGACTCTGTTCTGCTACATTTTGTGTAGGTATTTATCAGAACCAACAACCCACCTTCCTTCACCGAAAGATTCCCACTTGCTGACTGGTCACAACTTTTATCAAGCAGTTCTGTTGGCTTAAATTGTTATTATGTGTACATAACCACTTGTATCAGTTCCTTTCATTGTCAGACTTCACAAGGATCAACCAAACCAAGTTCATGTCTCAGTAGGAAGTAACAGGGTGTCTCAATAATTGAAAAATCCTCATTCAGAACCAAAATAGTTCAATGTGTTGAAATGACCACTGAGAATATACAAAGGTGAGGCTCTACAATTAGTTGTGAGGATAACATCATCACAATACATCTTAGCTTTGTGTATGGATTGGGTCAGTGCAGCAGTTTGTCTTAGAATCTTAGCATTCCTGTAAATCTGGCATGTCAGATCTAGTGTCATTTTCACAAGGGAGTAAATATCTTGTTCAGGTTTTACAAATATTATTTTCACACAAGGAACCACGAAATGGATGAGATATGAATGAACCTCAAATCTTGAAAGAACAGGGAACAGTTTACAGATACCATATGTCAAACTGATTTTTATCATGACTAAATCACCTTTATGTAATTCAAAAATGTGTATGTTGGTATATGTGAAAAGACAGAAGTTCAGATTGATGTGAATGTTTATGAGTCAAAAGACCCTGTGAAACTGGTAGGCCAGGTCTCAGAACAATTGAACCAGGGGTCCAATACTGCTACAGAAATGTGGGGTCATTTGTTTTATCAGGTGCCAATACCCTGGTGACCCCGGCTATCTGAAGCACTGAATGATATTTCTAGTTTTTACGTGTTTCTCATCTCCACCCCTTCCTGTAAGTCCTTTATGTCTACACACTTTAACAAATATTCTCCATTCTGAAAAAAGGCAATTTATTTCTCGTTTTAAAAAACAAACAAATCATTGTTTTATGTTTCTGGATGAAAAGTTGTTCTGCCTTGCAACTTCGTGTTTTGAACTCTCAGTGCCAACATTCCCCAGGATAAACTCTGATAACAAAAGCGGGATATTGCTAAAAGCGGCATAAAACTAAACTCACTCACTCACTGAAGCTGTGTGTGGAGATGAGAAACACAAGATTATCGATGGGCCAATTTGTGGACAAATACTACAATGTGTAGGCGAGACAGTGTGGTATAGCAGTTCAACGATTCCTCATTAGTGATAGATTTGACCAACAGAACTTAGAAAGGTTGTCTAAGTTTTTTACAACACAAAGTGAATGCCTTTTACAATATGAAGTGCATTTTGTATTATTGCCCCTCGACTACACATGGAGAATGTTTTAAAGATTGTGCTATTTTGTATAAATGTTGATGAGTCTTATGACGAGGCTAATTTTTTATAACCCTTTTACAGCATAGTGATACAATCCTTTTAGATAGGCTATTTATATGTCCCGTGTATAGAACCCGTGTCTGTTGTGTAGACGCCACAAGTCTGAGGTAGAAAGTATATTATGGGCATACTACCAGCAAATGGATGGAATATAAGTGAAAATAACCAAAAACTTGTTTATGCAGTGTTAAGCAATACTCACTCACTGGCTTCATGATATTAGAATGAAACCTTAGTGAGTGTGTTATTATACAAGACTGACATTGTTTGTAGCATGGAGATTGTATTTTAGAGGGCCATCAGTTGTGTATCTATATGTGGAAGCTGTGTTTCATTTGATTGGAAATTAATCTTGTGTAAACTGTCTGAATTTGAAGTTGTCCTTAGGCCTATAATGTATTTTGTATTTCAGCCTAAATACTATTTTTTCTCCTACTTTGTATACAGTTGCAGCTCACGGTTTGTTTCCTGAATTATTGTTTGTTTGTGTATGAAAGGAACAAGCATTCTATTGTCGTTTCATGACCGAGTGAATCTTATTCATAATTAAATGTTCATGATGAAACAGTCTCATAACAGAAAAACACCAGAAGTAAAACCAGAATAAAATATGTTGAAAGTGAAACCTGAATTAAATGTCAGTATGTATGGTGAGATGGTGATTCTCCTATATTGTAATGATATTACTGAATCAAAAATGTGTGGATATGATTTTTATGATATAGAATTGTAAGCTATATACTTGCATTTTGGTAGAGACGAGAGGACCAGGATGTAGTGAGTGCAATTGAATGTCTTGACCCTGTCATCACCAGTGTAGCTGAAGTGATGCTTGTGTCAGAATCGGCTACATTGTTGTCGGAATCTCATCGTGTACATAACCATGCTCTGATTGTGTCTCAGTCCTAAGTCTTAACAAGCTAAAATCCTTTGGAGGATTTACACTGTGTCATCCTTAGTGATCCAGTGTATCATATCTTCATTCTGTTTTGATACATATTTGCTTCCATGGTTTTAGTTTTGAAATTACATCACAGATGGTAGGAGGCGATCGGGTGGTCAGACTCGCTGACTTGGTTGACTTATGTCATCGTGTTCCAATTGCATAGAACAATGCTAATGATGTTGATCACTGGATTGCCTGGTCCAAACTCGATTATTTACAGACCGCTGCCATATACCTGCAATATTGCTGCATGTTGCATTACACAATAAAACCAACCAACCAACATCACCAATGCCTCTCCTGAAATGTTGTTCATAGATCTACATTCAGAACTGCAGGCACAAGCAAAACCTTTTTTCAAAACAAGAATACTGTTATAAACATTTTTTTTTTAATTGCAACAGTTTAAGTATTTATAGTAGGGAGCAAGATCCTGTTGGCATGAGGCATGCCCAGTTGTATTGGTGACATCAGCCAACGGTGATGCTGATGGTACGTCCCCACTTGTTTTAGGTGGGATAGCCTTGGTTAAAGCATTAACTCGTCACTCTGAAGACCCGGGTTGGATTCCCCACATGGGTACAATGTGTGAAGCCCATTTCTGGTGTCCCCTGGTATGATATTGCTAAAAGTGGCATAAAACCGTACTCACTCACCAGAGTCTGTCATATTTTCTGCTGACCCTCCCCAGATGTCCTCAGCCTCCTCTCCCAACCCCCTCCCCCACCTCCACCCTCCTCCACCAGAATGTCACTGTGTCCAGGTCCAGGGTATTCATCTTAATGGAATGGAGAGAAGATTTCTTAGATTTAAATTGTTCAGCTGTTACTCTTTTCTCATTCAAGTTTTCATTAAGTGAAAAATACTTTTGGGATTCTTTATTCCTTTCAGTTTGTTTTTTAAATTGTTAATTGTTGGATTCAAACCTTATTTTAAGTTAAAAAGTTACAAATATATTTGACATGCAACCCAATACCTGTAAATGTGGTTTATGAATTTGCTATGTTCACTTACACCAGGTTTTTACTTTGACCAGGGTTTACATAACAAACTAAACTCCATAAGATATGGACACAATGTACTTCTCACTCCAAGGCTAGTTAGGAATAGTCTCACCCTTGTCCAGTTTATTACATCTGTTATGACACATACCCAGGATAATTTGCACCATACTTTCATTTGGAGCGTAACGTGATCGGGTGGTCAGGCTCGCTGACTTGGTTGACACGTCATCGGTTCACAATTGCGTAGATCGATGCTCATGCTGTTGATCACTGGATTGTCTGGTCCAGACTCGATTATTTACAGACCGCCGCCATATAGCTGGAATATTGCTGAGTCCGGCGTAAAACCCAATTCACTCACTCACTCATTTGGAGCGAGATTTGAAAGGCACAATAGGCCTGGGGTATTTACTGTAGTCAAATGTTGATATGATACCTTGATAACGGAGGATGTGTCTCACTGACTGTTCATGTTAAATGTTATAGTGTTTGTTTGCAAGAGTGCCTATTTCTTTGAAAGGTCATACCACCGTTAAACCTTTTGTTGCATATTGTTCAGTGTTCTAACTAACCATTTTGTACACATTTTCTGTCTTTTTGCTTCTAAGTGGATATTAAAGTAGAATTTTGTCTTGCTCTGTTATGATTTTAAGAGAAAGGTTATGAAGGAACTAAATGTTCCTCAGTGATAGTTGACTATTTCAGCTATGCTCATCACAGAAATGTGTGTTGAATGTTCTAGAAATACAGCACATTTCATGTATTTTTAAATATTTAAGGGGTGCAAAAACCAAAACCAGAGCCATTCATGTGATTCCATCAAAGGCAGGTTAAATTGCTGGTTTTTGTTGATGTGTTATTCTGGTAATCAGGTTCCTGATAATCAGACTCTTATTCAGTATCCAAATGGTATTTTCCCTCTGGGAGAAATATTATTTTGTCACTTTGGTGACAGTGTTAGTTTTTTAGTCAACTTGCCTTGAATATGGTCTCATATCCTGCATATGTTCACATACCAAAGTTTTATTTTCTGCAATGAAATTTTAATATTTATTTTTATTTTGTCCGAACTGCATGTTTGTTTTGTGTAGCATCAGATTTGTGCAGCTTTTTTTTGTGAAAGAATATACTTGTTACTGTATTAGTGATAAGTCTTTCTGTATCTTGCTGCTTCCCATCTCTTGCCTGCCCTACATTTTTATTGAGAAATGGAAAAAATAACAAAACTTGTTATCTCAGTTTTGCCCTGATATTACACAGACAATTACTCTGACCATTACATATTTATTAATAAACAGGTCAGCTTTATCTTTCTTCAGCAATATTTTAAAAAATAAATAGATTAATTTGTTTTCAAAGCAATGCAGCTGCAATTACATCATAAATGATAAAACCTTTCATAAAAAAGTTACGCATTATGTGTAAAACAATTTTTCAATGTTCTTTTTTTGTTTTTGTTCTGATGTTCTGCTTGTTGAGGCTGAATCTACATCTTAAGTCAAATTTAGGATTATCAGCAATGCTGAAATGTTTCATAAAATAAGTTACATGCTGAGTGTAAAACTATTTTTGAAGGTGTTTCTTTTTGTTGTTGCCAGTTTCCTGCTGGTTGAGTCTGAAGATGAGAAACACATTTAACTATATGGATGGCCCAACGCTTTTAATACTGTGAAATATGAAACTACAGAACACATCTTGAAGATTTAATGAACATTCCTAATTGGCAGTTGGTAACACATAGTCATGACAATGTTGATGCATTGGATTATTTTTGCAATAATGTGTATATCGGAATAGTGACGCGTGCCACTTGCATTATGCTAATTTCTTTGTATATTGAGCATGTTTACAACAGGGCACTCTAATTGTCGATATGTGCATGTACTCGGTTTGAGACTGACATAGCTTGTCTTTTTCTTTGGGATTTGGATAAAAGTGCTTTGATGTCATACTTATACCCTGAAATCAGTCACATAATTGGTTGAAACCAAAACAGACAATCATGTCTATTAGCTCAACATTCTGTATGTCTTAAGTGATACTGAACATTTGTGTGTGGATGTAGTTTTACTGATCTTCCTTGGGTGTGAAACTTCAATGTGTCATGTTGTAACTGACTTTATTAACAGCCTGAAGTCTTGGCATCAAGTTCCACCTGGCCATCACAACGACCTTGTTTCCTCTCCACTTCTAGTCTAGTTCCAGACCCTAGAGAATATATTACAAGGGAGTCCAGCTCATGTCTAGATTGCAACAACCCTCAAATTAAGAACTGTTCTGGGGTTCTTTATGTATTTATTTATATATTTTTGTAGATATATATTTTCGAATAGGAGAACTATTTCTGGGACTAAATGTGAGTCTACTCCACATCCAACTACAGTTTCTATTGCTCCTCTTCTACCCAGCCCTTCTTTGCTACACCCAGCCCTTCACCCAGTTAGGCACCAAGCTCTTCTTATTCATTTCCTGGTCAAGAAATGCCTGATGAATACGACCAGCAAAGATATTCGATACCTTCTTTGAGTGGCATTTCTAGAAGTTGGAGAGTCAGATCAGGACAAACTTTAAGGATGAACAACTGCTTCATTCAGGTGATGCGATGTTTCGATCCAGATGTTTCGATACAGGCACCTGCTTGCCAACGATACAAGGTTGTGTATCGATACGTCACATCACCTGAATATAGAAGTTGTTCATCCAAAATGTTTGGCCATATCTATTCCATACCTCTTGGATCCATGTTCTTACACCTTCTCATAATATTGTCTGTGGAGAAGTAGCCACATGGTCAAGCCAATAACATAGATTCGGGTATCATCTGTGACAGCCACCATCTGTGGCCCTAGCTGTGACAACATACACATTACTCCTTGACTAACCTAGTAGATGTATGTACAGCGTGCCCATGACTTAGCTGCCCTTGGTGAACATGTCCTGCTATCTGTACTCTATAACCTGTAGCTCATGATCTCCTGCAGTGCCCAGCCTGCAACCTCCTTGTCTCACATTTCCATGGAAACCTGCACCATTCCCTAGCCACCAGATATACGAATTTCCATGATGTCTGTTCCATGTCTATTTGTCCTTAATCCGGTGGTGCTACTAGTCCCATTCATCAGTATGAAAGTTTTGGAATTCAAGACAAACTTAAACATTGAAATGTAGTTAATATTCCTGTCAAATACTTCTAGCAGTATCGCCATTGTGCAAAATTCTTCTGCAATATCATGTTTCTCACACAGTTAGAGACATGTGACTCAGAAGTGTTTCCAAATATGCACTGAGTTACCTTTGTTTCTGAAGAAAACCAAATTTATCAGTATATTGCAACCAAATCTTTAACCATCTCTACAACTTTACATGATGTGATTGTCAGTGGCAACTGTAGAATAGGTTGACGAATTTGTCCAAATGTTTGGGGAGTGATGGTTAGCGGTATCAGTTAAGCCGAGTTGATGTAGTATATGGACTGAAATCTGTGGAGTATGCCAAGTGTTGTTTTGCCATGTGTGTTTGCTGCTGTGAGAGTCCTCTGTATAGTGTGCTTGTGTAGTAACTTATAGATGCATTCCAGTGCCAATCCTCTGCATCAGCATCCTACTGAAGCTTGTCTTGTCTTGCTCAAACTGGTTTGTGCCACAGCATCAGTAATGGTTTAAAAAAGTTTACATGTTCCTTAGTGTCAAGTTAAACTTGACTTTCTACATCCAAGGAATAAGGAACATAAAAAATAATATTTTATGGACAGTTATTAAGAATGAAATGAAACAGATTTAGTTGACACTTTTGGAAAGTTACATTACATGCATTTAGTATATATTGTCATGAAAATATCTGGGGTTGCAGTGTTAAACAATATTAACTGAAATAGCTCAAATTATGAGCAAATAAGGTATATTTGTTAAGTTTTACTTTTCTATTTGGGGCGGTGGGGAAGCCTAGTGGTTAAAGCGTTTGCTTGTCGTGCCGAAGACCTGGGTTCAATTCCCTATATGGGTACAATGTGTGAAGCCCATTTCTGGTGTCTCCCCTGTCATGATATTGCTGGAATATTGCTAAAAGCGGCTTAAACCAAACTCACTCACTGACTACTTTCTATTGACTTTGAGAAGCAAGATAAGCTTGTTAATGCTGATGGTGTTATAGGGAAACAAAGGATGCACATACATATATATCTGTGCTTGGCATTTATGTTCATTTGAATGTGATTCTGTTTGTTCTCTAGTCTTAAAGATATACACTTCTTGCAAGCTGCTAAAATCACTCTGCGCTGATCAATAATTAATCACTAATAAATAGAGTGAAACAATTATATCCAGATCAAGTGTTTCCAGTGTCTGCCTTGTAGGCATCGTGGGACCAATGTCATGGTGATCTTGTCAAGGCAGATCAAATCTACAGTTTAAAACATACATTTAAATTGTTTTGTTCCTGCAGTGCCCATGTATTGCTTTAAGTGTATATTTTTGCTGTATTTTATTTGAAATCTTTTGTTGTTGTATTATGTGTATTTAACCATGCACGCAAACTGGTTTTGCTGCTAGCTTCTCTAGCTGTGATGATCTTGCTCACATTGTTGACGATGTTTTATTGGTAGTGACTTAGAACTATGCATAGCTCCAGTCTGGGACTGGGAGATAGCTGATACATCCCTCAAACTAAGTCAGCCAACGGTCTTGTGCTCCCTTATAGGGTTTGAGAACTTATGTTATTTTCTACATTAGTGGTGCACAATTTAATGGCAATTCATTGAACTCCACGTAAAGAGTATTCCCGGTAGGCTATATACACATTTAAACAAAACAAATTTTTAGGTTGAATGAGAGGCTAACCAGGAATCAATGTTTCCGTTGACAGTTATATTTCTTGTTTTATTGAAGACATCACTGCACCATATAACAGGATCATTTCACTGTGTTCACCTGTACCAGTTTCTTTATAAGTGTTTTCAAATTTATTTAAGGTACTTCTTTAGAACACAACTGGTATGTTTTCAACATACCCGAGGTAGATGACATAGTGAACTCAACGGGTGGTAGTGAAAGACTGTCACAGAATCAAACTATTGATGTTCCATGTGTTATTTCCTAAATCAAACTATGTCTCAAGTTGTCTTTAATATTTGACTTATTTTAGGGGATGGTTTTCTATTCACAATGCTTTTGTTGTTTTGAAAAAATGTATGCTGTAGAGCAAATAGAAGTGGCCACAAATGTTTTCATTTGTCGTATGTTTGTATGTTCATATTTCTTCCACAATGAAGTATTTTTATGATACTTGCCAGCTGTTGTACTTACAATACAAATGTATAAATAAACCAAACTTGAACATGTTGACTGTGGTGGGACTAATGCTGTAATGTTTTAGTTTGTAAATGTTCACTCTTGTGTCAAATCATTTTGATGAGGTGATTTTGTTTCATTTAAAATGCTGCTGTCACCTTTCTCCCCAGTCACGAACATTTACATCATTCATCACAGAAAATAGTTTTGTTGAAATATTTCTTTCTTTGTGAACATAAAACTTGCTTTAATGATTTTAGTTTTATCTTTTTATCAGTTGTAGGAGTTTTGGGCTTGTTTTTCTATGATTACAATGTAATACTATATCAGAATATTTTCTATTATTTTAACTTCTTAAATCTTCAGTCTGGGGGTTCTGCCTCTCATTATCAAACAACCAGAGTTGTCACCCCTATATTATTAACATTTCCTCAGCCAAAGGATTATTTTCTGTGATGTTTGCTGGTCACACGTTAGTTTGGGTTCTGTTTCTCAGTATCTCATTTTGTCACAATACAGATCTTGATGGTCTTGACTAGCATTATTACCAGATCTCGGGCAATCTTGTAAAAACAAACATGCGTAAAGCATCTTCAATTTGATGTCTGTTTGGTACATTAAAATTTGAATGAAACAGCACTCTGGTGTGTTTATTTTCTTGAAGTGACTTTGTTGAATTAGCATGCATGTATTCACTTTTTGTTCAGTGTACGCAAATGGATACTTGTTGAGTCTTGTGGGGAATAGCATATTTATGTGAGACTGTAATATAGATTTTCCATCAGTATCAGCCATTGTAAGTGGATCAATTTCATGAAGAAAACCAGCAATAGGTTACTTGTGCGTGTGGCAGTGATCTTGTTTACTCTCGTTGGGTTCCGTTGTTTTGGATGCTCAGCTGGATGAACTGTTTCCAAAACATTTACAACTTTCATAGAAAGATCCAATTTGGTCATATGCATAAATTTTAACAGCAACACAAAATATTTTTGAAATGGTGCTGTTTTGATACATTGTGTGAGAAATATATGAAACAGATTTTCTTTTGATTCCAGTTACCCATCATCTGCATATCAAGCATAGGGCATTTGTTTGTGATTTGTCTTGCAGTACCTCTGTAAATAAACCCTGCTATCACAATAGCTCCATATTCATTCAGTTATATCAGACTGATGTTATTTCATCATGGCATTAGGCTGATGTAAGTTGAGGTAAGATTTACCTGCTCTCACTAGAGTTTAATGTATATCCAGTTATTTGTGCAATCTTAAAGCTACAAGCATAGAGTACTTGCTGACGTAGACATAAGGCAGTCATAATGTGAAGATATACTTGTGACATGAGGCTTAGGTGTTTATAAATCTTACCTGGTGACTAAAGATGCACATTACAGAATATAACCTGGATGGTGAGCCATATGTTGAGGATTACATTGTCTTTGTACACACAAGAATCTCTCTGAAACAAGATAGAATGGGTAATATTGTGGCCTGAAACTAACATTCCTTGGGAAAGGAGAGTATATTTGCAGAATCCCTAATTCATAGTCATGAAGAGATGGAGTTGACTTGCAGTCTGGAGTAGGATCTTGTGTCAGATTCATGTCTGTTCGTTGTATACAACAGACAGAATAAAATGCTTGTGGCAAAGTGTTGTCAGGCTAATGTTGTTTGTTACTTTCTAAAAGTGTTTTTTACAGAAGCCGGTTTGGACCATTATAATATACATGTCATCAAAGTGTATCCACGAAAGTCAAGATACTATCGCCCAGACCTGCAAATTTTCCTTTGTTCTCCACAGTTCAATAACTCCAATACACCACCATGAGTCAGGAAGCATGTCTCGGTGTCATCTGTGGAAGGAGCCAAGCACACACAACTACAAAGCATATGGCATACGTGAAGGTTTTGTTTGAAAAAGTAAGCCCATGCTCTGCACGCTGCTACACGTGTCCTGCACCTGCGCTGCCCACACTACCTGTCTTGTGAGGAACACATGGTTCATACTGACAATCTCATTCTTCACAGCGATCCTTCGTAGCCTAGCGGATAAAACCGCCAAGCTAGTAAGCAAAGAGTTGTAGGTTCGAAACCAGGCATTGGCGCTATATATCGGATGTTTTCAATAATGTGATCTTCTCATACACACATTAGGTCCTTTAATTTGTATAAGTGACCGTTTTGATGGAGAAAATATAAACCTTGGGTGTCCATCCACCATTTACCAACACTAGCATTTAAACTGACGAATTTTGAATCTCAAGTGTATGATGAAGGCCTTGAGTCTACTAAAACATGTAAATTGGTTTTGTTCGTTTTTAAATCACAAAATCCAGATTATGAAATCCCTGATAAGATTTGAAAGAACCATGTACCCTGCAGCTTGTCTCTACTCACTCAGGAGGGTAGACTTTTTCCACATTTGCTTGTGCACTTTTTGTGATTCTCAATACTGTTTTTGTCAGTTGAGTAAGTATAGTTTTATGCCACTTTTAGCGATATTCCAGCAATGTGGGGACACCACAAATGGGCTTCGCACATTGTAAATGTGGGGAATCAAACTCCATATTTGGCATGACGAGTGAACGCTTTAACCCCTATCTTACTGCATAGCCCCTTGTCAGTTAAATCTACTGTATGATGCTATCCATTGTTCAGTAAAGTTTCCCTGGAGATTTTTCTTGATTTTTGCTCTCAAGTTGTTCATGGATTACCTACAGGAAGCTCCAAATTATGGATCATCTTTCTCTGTGCAAGAATAGTGTAAGCCCATGTGAAATGCTTTCAGATTCATTCACTCATAAATAGATAATCCCTAAATCCTTGTAGCTTGTTGATTATTCCTGAAGTATGAACAGATGACACGAAAACAGTATTTTCATACATGTTTTATTTGCTTTGACCATGAAATGAGCCAACAAAGGGAAGGCTGTGCTGCCATCTGGTGACAGCAGAGAATCACACATATCGTACAACACAACAGCCGCACTCAAAACACACTGATGCTGTCGGGGCAAACTTCCTACAGGAGACATTTGCTGACTTGTTTAAATACTGATGACAGAAAGCTGAAGTAGCTTACTGAACTTAACATAGAAAAAATACCAAATAAGGCATTATTCTAAAAAAGATGGTTCATAAAAACGATCAGACAAAAGTAGTCCTCTTTCTGACATGCTGACCAAATAAAAAAGACTGGATAAAAGAGCTAAAATCAACTTGCTTAAGAACCTCTGAACAGACTAAAGAAACATTTCAAAATGTTCCATTATATTCTAAGAAAATAGAATTTACAAATTCAGAAAAAACATAAGATTGATTGATGTAACAAAAATGAGAAAAAAATAACAAAATTATATGACTTCTCCGCGGTTGTGTTGTCTTCCACAGCAGTTGAACCAAGCTGGTCTCCTGTACGAACCTGACCTTCCTGAACTAACACGCTCAACTAACGTGGAAGAAGAATCCTTCCAGCATACTACACAGTAAGAGAGAAAACAAAATAGCACCATAGTGTCAATGTACACTTTGTACAACCACCAGAAACCTACCCACATACATGGAACCAAAGGACAGAAATAAAGGTAGAAATGAACAATAAAATATGTCAGTATATGTAAACAAAGGAACGTACCTGGGATGAAGACAACTTCATAGTCTGTAATGTTTTCAACATACCTGAGGTAGATGACATAGTGAACTCAATACTTTGATATTAACAACCATAGAACAAAAAGGATTAGAAAACATTACTGAACTTTGATTGGTTTTTCGTTTGAATATCACTGACACTGGTTTCAAGTTAAAACATATTTTAAATTCCAGTGTAGTCACACGTTTTTCCAACATTTTGTATTCTATGGTTATGACTTGTTACCAATAACTGGATTTCTGATTCAGGAAACTGATGAGAAATAAATGACAGAAAGGATTTGTATACTTTTGTAATAATACAATGTACAAAAATAAAATAAAATTTGTGATTACAGAGTAAATGCAAAATCTATGTAACACTGCTCTCACAAGGCCACAAGTATGAATGGAAGAGTGTAATCATCACGGATACACACACTTACTTTTACTGACATTTATCTTATTAAGTAATTACATAATTATCATCTGAAAATGTAAAGTGAACAGTTAGGACACAAGATTTCATACTTAATGGAATATACCAGGTACACATTAAAATGTACAAATACAGAAATTACAAAAGCTTGAGTAACAAGCAATAAATCTTGTAGTATCGGATTCAGCATGATTATTGATTTTTCATGACTGTTTTCAGCAAAAGGGTTCTGTAGACAGAAGATCATAAGAGGAAGAGCTCATAATATTGTAATAACAAAGCATCCTGGTAATGACAGTTGCAAACTGCCTTGTGATAGCACACTGCTTTGAATAAGTTATCTCCCCTTGGTTTACAGTTTTATACATCTGGACCTACTATTTTCAACATAATTGTAACATGGAGTAACTTCAATGATATATCCACAAATAAATTCATAATCATAAAAATGTGACATATTCACAAAAATTTACAATTTGTGTAAATTTCATGACGAAGGGGAGACAACAATGTTCCAGCTGCTAACAGATGCACAGCTAGAAGCCTTGCTCCAGAATGCACACATGCATGTATCTCCTCCAATCAAGCCAGCTCTTCTATACTCTAACACAATTCGGAATGCTGGGGAAGGTCGGTTAAAGCTTTCACAAGCATTAGATTATCAAAATACCAAGGAACAAATTCATGACTTGACTTCAAGAATAATGCAACACCCCAAGATAACAAGATGTCAGTGATGATGGAACATGAACAAAGATCTCTGATTCAATGACTGAATATACAACAGAGCTGCTGATGATTAAAAAAAAAATCAATAAATTTGACTGACAACCTTGAGGTTATAAATTTAAAAGCATTTTCACTCTTTGGGTAAATTCCACAATATGCTACAATGTTTGAGAAAAAGTCCTCCCTTATAGAATGAATGCAACATGAATGTGTACTTGTATATATTTGTAGTTTCACATAAACAATTTTTTCAAGTGAAACCTAAATGAACTGATGTAGATCAACAAGAGCCTTAATGAAATTCTAACATTCCCACATGTGGTTTTATTGTGAGGGATTGCTGTCCTTGCTACAACCTGATAAGACAACAAGCACCCAATGACCGTCACATAACTACATGTATTAGAGTCATGACAGCCATCATGTTACAGATCAAGCGTGTGCACCACAACAGTCACATGACAATATGCCATAGAATCAGCATCATAGTGACTGTCACATGACAACATCACAGTGTCAGCAGGTGCACCATGACTGTCACATGACAGTGTCAGCAGGTGCACCATGACTGTCACATGGCAACATCATAGTGTCAGCAGGTGCACCATGACTGTCACATGGCAACATCATAGTGTCAGCAGGTGCACCATGACTGTCACATGGCAACATCATAGTGTCAGCAGGTGCACCATGACTGTCACATGGCAACATCATAGTGTCAGCAGGTGCACCATGACTGTCACATGGCAACATCATAGTGTCAGCAGGTGCACCATGACTGTCACATGACAACATCATAGTGTCAGCAGGTGCACCATGACTGTCACATGGCAACATCATAGTGTCAACAGGTGCACCATGACTGTCACATGACAGTGTGTCAGCAGGTGCACCATGACTGTCACATGACATAGTGTCAGCAGGTGCACCATGACTGTCACATGGCAACATCATAGTGTCAGCAGGTGCACCATGACTGTCACATGACAGTGTCAGCAGGTGCACCATGACTGTCACATGGCAACATCATAGTGTCAGCAGGTGCACCATGACTGTCACATGACAGTGTCAGCAGGTGCACCATGACTGTCACATGGCAACATCATAGTGTCAGCAGGTGCACCATGACTGTGTCATCACATGACATGGCAGTGTCAGGAAGGTGCACCATGACTGTCACATGACATGACAGTGTCAGTCAAGTGCAACATCATGACTGTCACATGGCAACATCATAGTGTCAGCAGGTGCACCATGACTGTCACATGACAACATCATAGTGTCAGCAGGTGCACCATGACTGTCACATAGCAACATCATAGTGTCAACAGGTGCCATGACTGTCGCATGACATGGTGTCAGCAGGTGCACCATGACTGTCACATGACATAGTGTCAGGAAGTGCACCATGACTGTCACATGACATAGTGTCAGGAAGTGCACCATGACTGTCACATGACAACATATCATAGTGTCAGAAGGTGCATGTTGACTGTCACATGTCTTCTATTACATTGATGTCATGGACTCAACAGGTGCACCAAGACTGTCACATGGCAATATGTCACTGATTCAGCAGGTGCACCATGACTGTCACATGGCATAGTGTCAGCAGGTGCTCCATGACTGTCACATGACATGACATAGTGTCAGCAGGTGCACCAGACTGTCACATGTCTAAATGTCACTGATTCAGCAGCTGCACCATGACGGTCCTGTGTACATGTCACAGATTTAGTAAATGCAACATGACAGTCACATGACTACTGTACATATATCAAGTCAGCAGGTGACCATGACTATCAGATGGGCATGGTTTCAAATATACATCTTATGCAAACAATTATTGTACACCATGTTGGGTGCCAAGACCTTCAGTCCATCTGTTCATCCATACATCGCTGTCATACGTGACTATGAACAATGTTACACAGTTGGGTACATGTGCTGCCTATACTACAGTACACAGCTACAAATAATGGCAATCCAATAGCATTGACTAGACTATAAAAGCAGGGTACAGAGTTGTCGTAAGATGTCTCCGGCTCATATTACTCACAGTAACCTTATCCAGATATGACTGTACCTACTGTTGTGAAGAAAACATAAACTATCAAAATATCTTTCTCCCACATTTACACGTTTCAAGAACAAAATAATTAATCATGACAGATTTCATGTAACAGTATTTTCTTCCCTGTTAGAAAATAAACCTTTCAAATCTACACATGACCACCAAATGAAAAAAATAATTACTTAAAAAAGGAAATTTCTGCTATTCATCGAAACAACTGTTAATTCATGAATGACTCTGAACAAGATTTCTCTTGTCTGAATCCTCCATGTACACAACCTGACACCTTGCTACAACTCTAGTAATAGTCAGAGACCCAATCTACAATGCAATCAGACATTTCTCCATAGAGAGTTGCTGAACTTGATTCCTTGTCAAAGGGACCTGTACACTTCCTTCTTCAAGCTACAGGTGCATGATGGGAAAAAGTGTCTACATGATTACATCTTGTATTAAATACTGAAATAATATTGTACAAAAGATATAGCAAATATTGTCATAGGTGAGTAAATCATATTCAGATTAAACTGGATATATAATATGTAATGATAAATCGGATTTTCTTAATGCAAGAAAGAATTGTACAAAATTCTGGGCCAACCTGAGGTGAACTACATTGCATTAAACAAGGAAACATTAACCATATCTCCACAGAATTCTTACACAGCACATTTTCACCAATGCACATGACCAAGTACATTCTCAATGACTTGTTTCACACAACACTGAAGGAAATACTATGTACAAAGTGAAATGAATGTCTCTTAGACAATGTTGTTTTGACAGGTAAAACATTTCTGAGGTTTTTCATCATGCATGTGGAAGCAACACTATCAACATGGCCACTATGACGACTTGATGATGTGACAAATGAATTTCTACTCTAACCTAGTGACTGATTAGCTGTTGATACATTCACGTTAACACAAACAATTTTTCAATCAAACCTCTAAAAATTCATCCACTTTGGACTGTTTACTTTCCAAGCATAAAATGATAGGTTTGAATCTAAGCAACAATGCAGTCAATACCTACTGCACCTCCCAATCATGATAAAAGTTTAAATTCCTCTACAACCACCTGCGATAAGAACAACACCTACCACTATTTACTTCCCCACAAAAAAACAACCAGGTAACTTCAATTGTCATAATTCTTTCCAACTACAAGCAATATACAATGGTGAATAAAAATGCCATTTTCTTAAGACAATTCTATTATTTTCAGAAGTAAAATGCTAACTGGAAATAAAAGTGACATTCAGTTTGAATTCATAATTCATTAAGTTCTACTGAAAGGTTCATTTATGCCATCAATGTGTATCACAGACTTAAAACAGTCCTGCAAGGGATGAGAACTCAGTTCCTTGATAAGACAGTAGGAAAATAGGGGGTACCTCGCAAAAATCACGCGGTATTAAAATCTCAGAATAAGACAATCACTGCTGCGCTAAACCACATGACAACACTTGAACACTGATGAACACAGGATGAAGGACTGTATGCATGTATGTACATATATGGAGTGTCTCTGGCCATCGTATCTCACAAGATACATCCAGACCACGGTGGTTTACCTCTCTCCACATACAAAATCACCAGAAAATGGGTAATCTCCAAGTTGGCACAAATTGCTCATTGCATCAAGTTTAACTGCCTGCTAAACATTGATAAATTAACTTCGTCTTTGATCAACACTATGAACCTACGAGGCAAACAGACTAAAAAACGCTATTTAAAACAATCAGGATCATATCCTTAAGGCAACCAATTACTGGTACTCTACAAATTTGACATACATAATGCGAAATTCTTTCATGAATGTGAAATACATTCATGAAAATGTATCGAAAGATAAAATGACATTTGTGTGGTAAGGGATAAAAACATAACGCAAAGCAGTTAACCATAGCAACAGTTACTACAAGTTTAATTTGTTGGAATCGGCTAAATTCAAACCAATTTGTTTATAGATATCACTGCAATGTTATAGTTCTGTTTATAACCAAGTCCACGCAGTGGGTGTTAGTCCTCCTGCTTGCGATTACTGGCTCAGATTAAGTTTACAACACTTAACAACATTAATACAAACATGCCGACTGGAATATTTTCTCATGCAAAAATGCTTTTCAACATGTCGCATTATCTTATATTAGTTCAGCATTTTGGTTATCACAGAAATGCAGTGACTATTTGAAGCAAGAACATGGAATTCAGGAAGATTTGTGAATATTTACAAGTCAAGAATATCGCTGTAAAAATAAATACTCCACAATATCTGCTCTTATAAGTTTCCTTGCATTGTTAATATTGATATTTTGAGATTGATATGGATTGTTTTATAACAGAAAACATTTGATGTAGTTTCATGTATAGTTTGAGAAGTAGCATCTGTAATGTAAAATTAACAAGCGCTCAATCACAAAAGGGCAGTAAAAATTACAACGGAGCTGCTGAATAGAGAAAAAAATTAATGCATACATAATGATCTCTCCACTTGTTTGAATCACCATTACAAGCAGGGAAATATTTATTACTCTCCCGTGGAAGATACTGCAGTGTAATATTTTTACGTCAATATTACACTAGTGTAATACCGCTAGACGTATGACATCATAATGTTTACAGTTATGACATCACAATGCTAATACCTCTGTCACAATGGTATTAGACCTTGCTTGACTCATGGAAATCTGAAAGTCATCACACTGTTAGTAGGCAGTTTCTATCAATTTATGTTGGAGAGTAATAAACAGAATACTAAACTCGCTTTTGTGAAATACCATTTTTATTCAACTCGTGAAAGATTTAGTATCAAACTCGCTTTCACTCATTTGATACCAAATCATTAACTCGTTTAATAAAAATGGTACTACACGGAAGATCGTTTAGTATCCTCTATATATCACCAGCGAGGAAAGAAACACCTCCATATCCATGTGTAAACCATTCTTATAATGTTATATTTTACCAATTCTAAAAATTGTCAAATAAAATAACAAACTGTGTAAAAGTCAAATTAATTCAGATCCATGAAATACAATTGCAATATTTGTACCATTTGTACAATTTCTAATCATCAAAGGAGATTAGAAGTTGTACAACAAAACATGAGTGGCTTTTCTTAATACTCTGTATGTGTATATACACCAAAATGAAAAATAATATTGATAGACTGTAATCTCCGATTTCATAAAGCTAGATGTCAGCTGTACAGATGGATAGTTACCATGGCAACAAGAAACAAACAGCAGTAAACTGTGACCATCAAACTGGATGTGAACAAACGATCTTTACAAAAAAGCTTTACATGAAAATGCATGTTACATCTTGAAACAATACTGAATTTTTACAATCAGTCACCTTATTATGAAACACACATGGCAAAATGGAACTTCTTTAATCTGAACTTTGTCCCTGGTAACTTCCCTGACAAGAGCAGTTTTGAAAGATGCATTTCCCGATAATCCATGTTCATCATTAGAGAAAAACAGGTCAACCCAGTTAGTTTGATGATGTCAAAACTGTCTAGATGGACTTCACTGTATTTAATGCAAAATAAGCACAAGTTTAATTAATGAGGTCCCACAATAATTCTTTATACAAAAATTCATATTATGAGAATGTCTACATATATTAAATGAGGGATGAAAATTTAAAGCTCAAATAAATAATGTCTTCAACTCTTGTACCAGCAGTAAAATAATGCTTATACATGCTTTCATGAAAATGACAGCCATCAATCACCATTTTGTTTTGATATAATCTTGGTTGTAAATGCAACACTATGCTGTCCTAACTCACTATATCCTAACGTAGAATTCTAAATTTTGTAAAACATAGAGGATAAGGGTGTACAGTATCACACGTCAGTAGTAATATCAAGCAGGTTAGAACAAATTGGATGTTTTTATTAAATAACCTTGGGCTGATTGTATTCACTGTCAAATGTTACATGAACATTTCTTACAGTAAATGTATAAGCACTGAGAAATGCCCCAATATTGATTGCGTAGGTCATCAGCAGAAAATATATAATGGAGCATAATTTCATTTTTTTAAACATCACAAATGGCAGCAAACTTAAATATCAACTGATGCATTGCGAGTCACCAATCAAGCAGTATTTCCATTAATTATGGAACCTCTGTCTTGTAAGAGCTGTAAAATTGCAAGAATATTACACAGATCTCATTGTTTTTAGTCCATGTTTTCTATAACTTTCGTTTGTCTGTCATGGACTACAGCAGCGCCACGGAGTAGATTCACTACCCACTAAGGTCCTCCTGTCATGACTTTTCAGTACTAAGGGACCTAGACAAGGAAGAGGTGCGGTACAAGCTTTCTGAGTGCGGGCTGATTGATGATGACCTGAACATAGCTCCACCCTCTGAGTGTGGACTCAGGCCTCCGCCATCTGTGTCACTCCCTGCACTTGACCTTGACCCTTCATACTGACAGCGCCACCTGTAACTCCCACCGGGTGATACACGATAGTCAATGTTGAACTGCAATGAAATAGTTACGATATCAAAATATGAACGGTGAAAGGGATTTTATTACACTTCATGATGACACACTAATAAGTCCTGTAAAATTACTGGCAAGATGTGTTACCTGGATCAATTACCTGGATCAATTACCTATTGTTTGAACTGACTTAAATTAATCGGTAATCCCAACTCAATGAGGGAAACTAGCATGTAGATGTGCTATCAGTCAAAAGTGATGTGACTCTCACTGTAAACATCCGATTTGAGAACAGATACTTAACTCAGTGATATACTCTTATAAGATTTCCTTACAGAACAAAAGTAGTTTCAATCCAAAGCTTCCTGAACTTCCTACTTACCTTTGTGGCACAAATAAAGCATGTTGTGACGACCTTGGCAATGACATTCATAAGATTCTTTGTTTCCTGGATAGTACTGTCCACCTGGGGAACACAGTAGTTCAGACATTCAGTTTCCAAGCATGTGCATGAATGTGTGAATCGTACGTTTCAGACACCATGGAGTCCTTAAAGAATGCTAGTGAAATCAAGCCTCATTCTTGCTAATCATCTTTGATGCTAGGGCAAACAAAGTGCTGTAGAACTTGGACAAACGGTAATCACTTAGTCCTTTAATATTCAGAAGGTTAATCAATGGTTCATGTCCCATTTAGGTTAAAGCTTAGGTTCAAGTGCTATGTGAACCGATCATGCATGTTATACAATGTTTGGAATTTAAGGGGGGTTCGGTGGTCTATTCATCATACCCTATCAGTCCCAGGCCTAATATTTAAAACTCTTGAACATATTCATTCCTATCTCCACTGCTCACCTTGTTGAAGGTTGGTGTCTTTCCAAAGGTTGGCGCTTTGAGTCTGATGGCAAGCTGCTGACAGAAGACTGGCACCCGGTCCAGGTACATCAGTAACTCCTCCTTGTGATGGCATGGGGGCACCTGCAACACACGGGGCACACACTCGGTCACCACTGGCTCCTCCCATGACGAACCACAACCTACCATACCACCACCAAAATTTGTCTGGACGGATGGTGGTGGTATATCCAGGTTTAACTGTACTTACCATTATACAGGTACTACAGTGTATGAGTGAGTGAGTCTTTTTTCACACTGCCTTAAACACCATGTCATAGCATGTGTGTTTAACGTTGAATCAAACCCTTCAGTCATGCAGGAAACCCTCTGTATGGTTATGATGAACCAAGCAACAAATCAGGAAAAACTTAAGATCGTTGATTTATGACATGCCCAAGGATGCAAATCTGTATATCAAAACACTTTAACAACTTGACTTCCCATGCTGACTGCAGAACTTCAAATATTTACAGTTAATATTATGTCAAGATAACTCCTCTCAAGATACACTACACTACACGAATACATTACACTATAGATTGTTTCTGCTGCTTACCCTCTGAGCAAAGCCCATGACAGTCTTGTACAGCTTATTGCCCTCCTCAGCAAAGTAGTCAGCCTGCACAAACAGGTCCTGTGTCGTCTTGAGTGGCCCCTCTCCCCGTGTGAAGAGGTACATGGCAAAGGCCATGCTAGACATGTTCTTGGCACGCTTGACGATGTCATTGTCTGGCTCCTCCCACTTGTCTGTTTCTGCGTCCATCTCCGAGGTGATCAGCTTCATCTCCAGACCAAGCTTGGCAATCTTAGCTTGCTCCTACAACCACATCAACATATCTTACACATCTAGCATTGCATTCTTAGAACTTGAATGTAAAACTGGAGCAAGAACACATGCCACTTTGTATGGTTTCATGAGTGTAGTCTTGATCATGATTTCAAATTGTACCTGTCCTAGCCACTTAAGATAGGGCAAACTGTAGTACTTTCAGACAAGTACCTAAAGCTATACAATGCACACTGTAAACAAGGTCCTCTGGAAGAGGTAAGACCTGAGGCATTTTTTTACACAATTTTCCAAGCAAAGGCACATTCAAAATTTCTAAGTCTTACAATTGCAAATACTATCACATTTTCAACATATTCAAAAGAGATCACAGTTGTTTTTTAGCCTTGCAAGTGAAACAAAGATTTTAAACCTTGCAGAGCATACTCTCACGTCTATCTCCATTCATGTGACTTACCTCAGCATCAAGCTTAGCAGGTCGGAAGGATCGGGCTGTAGTCCCATGTTTCTGAAAGAACCAACAATGACCCTGTAAGCCACATCTGCTGAGAAACCCTTACAACAAGAGTTTGTCTACTGTCTACCATACATGCATATGGTCAGTCTAGTGTGTCTAGATCCTGCATTACAACCATTTCATCCAATAACTCATATATCATCGTATAAAATGTTGACTAAATGCCCTATTTGGGTCATGCCATGCTTTCATCTGCTGCAGTGCCTGATAATTATCACCTCCTTATAACGTTGTTTAACTAGTGTTTCTGAAAATCACACAAACCTTGGAATACTGGGTTCAATTTGCTTTTCTAGACTCGCATGTCATAGACACTTGACTACAACTGGCATTTAATTCAATACTGTTGAATCATGTGGCATTGTATAGTAAAATGTCAACATCAGAGGTATTTTAACTATGTAAATCCATATTAGCACTACCAAGACAATGGCACCTATTCTGGGATGATCTCCATTTGTTCAAAAGACCTGTTCAGAGACAGGCATGTTGTAATATAGATGTAGAACCTTCTTCCATTTGAAGGATATATATCACTTACAGAACAGTTGTAAACATTGTTTTTCTTACTCAGCCATGTCTGTATTTATTCCAGTTACAGTTTATACAGCACATCTTGTTCCTTAATTCTCAACTTCATAAAACTCCTCTCAAAATATGTTATGAACTTATGTTCTTTCTTCTGCTGAACATTCTGATAATTATAACTCCTTTGCTGGCATTAAACACTTTGACATTTTAACTATTTTAAATAGATATCATATAAATGCTCAGCAACCCCACATCTGAAAGTAGGCTGTTATTGTCTAACAACAAAAACACAAGACCCAATTTGAAAACAAAGATCTTCTCAAAAGATTTTGAATCCAATTTGAACCATCCACGTCTAAATATTTCAGAAAAAACATCGAAAGCTGAGATCATGCAACCAGTGTATAAAACATATATCAAGAACAATCAGTAGAATACAACTGAAAACATATAATTCTGCTAAAATCAAAACACATGCTTCAAAAACTTAATTAAAGACACATTGTATAACCGTATAAAAAATTTCTAAGCTAGTACAAAACATTGTATAACAAATGACAAATGACAGTCACAAATCAAAAGGGACAGTGGTGGACAGTGAAGAGGATGTTGTCCGTGCACACTGTAAGTCCTTAGTAATACAGAACTGTGCATATAACACACATGTAGAGGTGATCGCGTGACACTTAGCTGGAGTACTTCACACACGTAGAGGTGACCGCGTGACACTTAGCTGGAGTACTTACCTGGGGCGGAGTGGAACTCTAGTAGGAGTTGTTAGAAATGTACATATATTAGCATTCAGAAGTTACAGCTCAGTAATAGTGTGGTAAAAACTGATCACAAAATGGTTTCTGTAACAAGAGTGAGTGAGTGAGTTTAGTTCTATGCTGCCTTTAGCAACATTTCAGCAATATAACTGCAGGGGACAGCAGAAAAGGGCCTCACACATAGTACCCATGTGGGGAATTGAACAAACGCCAGTGTGACAAGTGAACACTTTAACCACTAGGCTACCCCATCGGCCCTCTGTAACAAGAGTCTTCTCGAACATAACCTATAGCCCCAAAACATTTTCTCCAGTGAATATTTTATAATGCCATGAAAGCAAGGACTAAGCACCAGTGCTAGTAGCAGTCTGGACAGCTGCTAGTTTGGTGGTGTACCACTGCTGTAAATAGGCAACAATTGGTCTACACTTGGTGACCTGGTTGAATGGGTGTCACTGTACCCCAAAGGAGCAGATTGTTGCTCATGATATCAATCACTGAATTGTCTGGTCCAGACTTGATTAATTAAAGGCCACCATCATGCAGCTGTCATATTGAGGAGTGCAGTATCAAATAATAAACTAACAGATGAATAGCTTGCTTTCCTTGAATTTTGTATCCTAGAATATTTGTATTCTACAACCCAGTCTTATTTTTGAAACTATACAATTGAAACAACCATTTCCAAGTCAAACCTTTACAACCTGCAAGTAATAGGAAACACAAACCAAGCAAGGTAATGTCTACAGGTACTGTCATGCTAGATTATATATTCCTGTTGTCTACAGTATTCCTGCTATAAGCATTCTCTAGTCAATGCTCCATGTGCTACACATTCACTCATCTCCATGCACTGTCGATATAACCATAATGAAGTCAAAGATGACTTTTGGATTTCCACTTCTGTATTCTTGGAATGAATTTTTATGCACATGCTACAGACTTCTTCTAGCCAGGTTGCATTGAAAGAATGAAGACATTGAAAGCCAACTCTGTTTTCACTAATATTGCAGCTTCGAAAATGCCACTTTAATATCATGAAACCAGGTTTGCTTAGTTCCTAGAATATTCAAGAATATTCCAATTGTGAGAAGAAATACAATATATCACATATACTGTACGGTCGAGTTATTTACCTTGAATCCTGTAGCCTTGGGAAACTTAACATTCCAACTTACATACACAGAGATGATTCAGGATGTTACAAATAGATGCTGTTTGGACTTGGTCATTTTTTGTTATTTAAAAAAGAGTTGTCAGTTTAATTTAAAGGGCAGAGCTAACTACCCTTTGTGAGCACTACATCTACAAGATAATGTCATGCCTATGAAATGTTCTGACAATTACACCAATATACATCATCTTTCTGTAAACTTACATATTTGTAATTTTAACAGCATAAAGAAAATCTAAAAAAATTATAGCATTAACAACATGTAGGTTGTCATATCTTTCTCAAGTATCAGTTGCTTGAAACCTTAGAAAGCTAAAATAATGTCAATGAGGGCACCTCTGTAATTCAAAGTCAACAGTGTTATCTCCCTTGCAAGTACTCACCCCAGGTCGAGGTAAAGAAAGATATACTGGCTTGTCCATCTTTCCCTGGCAAACATCATTGACTTCTTTGACAAGAATGGACAGATCATTAATTTGTGACTTCCAGGCATCTCCGAACACCTCCAGATTTTCCTTGGCCACCTTACTGCAGGGGTACTGAGCAAGAGTCTGTGCTGCATACAGGGTCTGAACAATAAGGTGGGAATACAGTGTCACATACAGGGTCTGAACAATAATACAGGCGGGGTCTGAACAATAAGGCGGGAATACAGTGTCACATACAGGGTCTGAACAATACATACAGGGTCTGAGGAATACAGTGTCACCCATGGAATAACAGAGAGCAGTATTATCTATAAGTCATAACATTTCGGACTTTCTGGAAGCAGTCTGACACTATTAACACTGACAAGTTCAGAGGATGATAGTTCTTGACAATACCAGGCTAATTTCTTTTGAACCCACAACCTTGCAGTTATGTGTATCTGTTACTTTATACAAAACTATAAACAAAAATTATTAGTTCTAAACTTGACCAAATGTTCCATAGTAAAGAACATGTTTTAGTGATAATGTTCTAACTCCATACACTCACCAGTGGCCCAATGCTGTGAAGGAATGACTCATTGTGTTCTGCAGTGATCACCAGTGGGTCTGTGGAGGCCAAGTGATGCAGCAGCTTGCACACCTGCAACCAAACATGGCCCATCATGATTATGTTAAAGACCCTGAAATATCATCAACAATCTTCCACAACTGTGACAACATCCAGCTGACACGGAATCCATCTCCTCAATCTCAACATGAGCCATGGTTCCTAACAGCCTGCATCTGCCCCAACACCCATTATTCCACCACTTCAGACACCAATTTTTCCACCTGCCCTGAAACCCATCTCTCCTGCTACTGACCTCCTCCAGCTGCTCTTGGTGTTCCTCAAACTTGATGGTGAGTTCCTCCACCTGGTCCACATCTCCATTCATCCCAGCGATACGGAGTCCCTGCAGCAGTTCATGGTCTTCATTCATCTTGAACAACTCGGATGCCTGGTCCATGGCTGTGTCCAGTAGCTGCAATAACACATCAGATTCTGTACACATCTTCTGATGCCTGACCATTTCTTTTATCATGGTTGCTAAAAGTTCTTTGCCTTTAACTACATTTAAAATCGAGTTTGCATCTACAAATTACCAACTCCTACCTGCTTCCGAAATGCCTTGGATGCTTCAATAGTTTTCAAAATGGCTGTTTCAAGTTCCTGGGTCGGCGTCAATGTGTCCTTTGAATTCTGAAATGTCATTGTACATGATGTACAAACAAACTTTTCATAAGTGAATACAATAAATTTCATAATGGATTAAAACTGTGTGTCTATGATGAAAACTAAATATCAGTGTACTGTGAGGCAAGGTGATGTCTTTGTACACATAAAGCAACTGTTTTCAGTGGATATTAACAGAATTAGGACATGAATGTACTTCTATGAGATCAAAGTAAGACTGTTTGGTTCATCTGCATCATACAAGTTGGACATGAGCTGTCTTTTGCCAAACATCATTATCAATATTATCTTCAAGGGCCAAAAAACAGGATGCGATCATAAATTCAGAGAGAAAGAAACAGTCAATATCAATGTCAAAAAAGGTTCACACCTACAGGTTTGTGTTCTGCTGTGCTAGTGTTAATGGACTGCAGCACCTGGGGCAACTCACCAAAGTCTGTCCAACCTTCAGGAGGTCCTGCAGCTCATCCTTGAGGGCATCAGACAGACTCAGGATCTTCTCCCGGTTCATGTGGGATGTGTAGGCCGAGTCAGTGAAGTCTTGGGCAGTGTCAATTACAAAATCAAAGGCACTCAATATTCGAACTAACCTGTATAGGTTTCAGATTCTTTGAATATATTCCTCCTTGGGGTACTTTATAAGCATTTAAAATGTCCATTTAAAATCCCTACTTACAGTTGTAAATAATATTTGAATAAAAATATTTACAAAAAAAACCACGCTTTGTCTTGTGAGATCCACCTTACAGGGCCCCTCTGGCCCTCCCATGCCAGCAGCAGGTAACTCTAGACAGTAACCTCGCGCACTCACCCCTTCCATGCTGAAACACATCAGACAGAATGTGGGGAGGAGGTACCCAAGGAGGAATATATTCAAAGAATCTGAAACCCTATACAGGTTAGTTCGATTCTTTTTTATATATTCCTCCTTGGGGTACTTTATAGCATAAGACAGACTCCTAAAGATGGAGCTAAGGAGCGGCATTCTGTCTGCGGCAGAAAACACCTCGACAAGAAGTGGAATTTCCTAAGCTAATTATAGCAGAAAGCACACTTACCCTCGTCAATGGTCCACCATAGCCAATCAGGCGGGGCATGAACCAGGGTCAGGGTCAACATATGTAAATTGCCCAGCCGAAACCTGCGGCTAAAGCAAACTAACGAGGCACACACCCTCCCTCCTTCCCGTGAATCTACTTCGAAGCAAAGATAAGGGTCCCGCAATAAGCCTCCAGAAACTAAATGCCTTAATATGTATATATTTAGCAAAGCTTCCAAGGCCAGTAAAGTCTAGAGCAGAATGCAAAAGACATGGGAATAAAACCATCACCACATAAAACCCGCCACCAAGGGAATATGTAAACAAGATTTTAAAACCCAACACCAGTGTTAAAAAAGTTGGCATAGAATGGTTCACATACTTTCTCGAAGCTCAATCGCCAGGAGAGGTGGAACCATGCCCACTGAGAGAACGATCAATCCGAACCGAGCACGCCACTGGAGAGTCTGTCAAGTTGGTATGACGGATGAACGTGGTCGGACGGCTCCAAATAGCCGGAGCAGATCTCACTCAATGGGCTGGCTGCGTAAGCTTCTTCGACTTCGTAGCAACTGCCCTAACCGAATGAGCTTTCAACCCAACAGGCGATACCCCTGTTTGGAGTATAGCTCATATGTATGGCAGAGACAAGCCACCGAGATGGTTTTGCTTGCTGGTCAGGAAGACCAGCCTGAACCTCGCATAACAATGAAAACAATTGGTTACCCTTTTACGGGTACCCCCTTTGTTCGCTTGATATAAGTTCCAAGTGTCTTTACGGACATCTAAGACGCGGAGCACGCGTCGTAGAGAGGTACCAGACAGGGAAGGCTGAGTGCAAGCTGGGAGCTCAATAGGCGCCGCCATATGAAGGGACTATCCTTCTTAGGACGGTAAGTATCAGGCAGCCGTAATGCCCCACTCTGTCTTTAGAAAAACAGTAAAGCGATCTACCGACATTGCATGAATATCGCAAGAACCCGCTTCGCCTGAAGTCATACATTAATAAGAAACGCCGTCTACCAGCCAACAGTTGGAGTGAAAGAGCCGCATAGATTGTGAAACAGTGGACCGACAGCCAATCAAGAATCGATTGACAAAACAGTCCTGACGGGGATTAACTCCGCCGGACAACCCGACGGATTCTGTCCTACGCCTGCTAAAAGCGCTGTACCAGAGGGTGCTGCCCTGCAAGAGAGCACCGGCCAACAGGTATAAGGCGAAACGCAGAAATAGCTGTAGCATATCCTCGAACCGCTGAAGCCGGCTAGACCAAAGGCCCAACCGAGACTGGAGGAATTCTAAAACACATAGACTAAATCTGTAGAAAAAGGGATCAAGAATCCCCTGTTGACAATAACACCAGCATGAATAACAGGCCCATCTATCCCTCATATTGAACGCTTGTCGTAATCCCTCCCGCTGGCCAGAATTGTGTCTGCAACTGGTGCAGGAATTTCGCCAAGACGGGAGGCTTATCCCTGACAGAAGGCCAGGCCACCCACTGAATCCTGGGATTCGGGTGGGCCTCGCTCTGGGATAGCTGTGAGCCACCAGCCGTCCCTGCTGTCACCTCTGCAGTGCAGACAGGTAGGCCGCAGTGGACTGCTACTTTGAGGTGTTGGGGCGTGCACCGCAATATTCCTCGAATGACCCGCACGCAGAACTTCAGCGAGCAGTGAATTAGCAGGAAAGGGTGGGAGGGCCTTCGCCCGGCCGAGGCCAGGGAAGACGAGGGGACGACCTCTAACGGACTGGAGGCAAAGACGCGACTCGGCCCACCACTGGTGGTTCGAATAGCCGCCTCCTCCCTTAACTGGTACCTCACCTGCCAACGCCTGGCAGATCAAATCTCGAAATGGTGAACCAGTTAAGAGAGGATTACCACCTCACCTACCAGTGATGGTGCGAGTATACCATAATCGTGGCAGCGCTTTGGTACGGCGAAGCAAAGCCTCCCAGTCGGGTCGCCTGTGTGGAACGCCACCTGGGGCAGGAGCTTCGCAATTTTTCCCCGACCTGCCTCAGAGACGCGAGCCAAAGGAGTACGGCACTTCCTCCCTGCTCCTCCTCCTCCATCGTCCTTCCATGTCCACTCAGGCATGTCCCTCGCAGCCCGTACTCTAATAATCCTGAGAGACCGCCCGAGGATATACCAGAGGCTGAACCCGAAAAGACCATAATAGTCAAGAGGTTTGCATAGCGAGTCGCCCAGCCGGGCAGAACTAAGCCCTAAAGTCGCCGAGGCGCTCGAGAGGAACCTTTTGCGCCACAGGCCTCCCCGGCAACCCAGACTGGCTGCCAGGCCCGAGGTGTCCCCGGCTGGGCAGTGCCGCAGGTGACTGCCAGTCAGGGCACCAGGCTAAGCCAGGGGCACCCTGCATCGCCGGGCCCTTTGCCACCTGTGACGGACCTATCTTTACGCCGAGCGAGGTCGCCTTAGGTGTCGAGGGTGCACTATCTCCACGGACCTAAGCCGATCGTTGCCCAGGGCGCTGCCTCTCGAGCCTAAGCTCGGGTCGCAGCCAACCCCATAGATGCGCCGTGTGATCCACTTTCACTTAACGGGCAGCGGTGAGCTTCTTTACGGAACCCATCCAACGCCAGATCAATGAGATTTCACTGACGCCATCTGTTCCTGGAATAAAGCGGGTTAGTGATTCAACGGGTACAACTGGTGCCGACACAACAGTAAGAGACAGGAGCAAGTTGAGAAGTTTGGTATTAGATGCCTCCTTGAACCTTAATTTTGGGAGCCCGGCTCCTGCATGGGAGCGGCCCTCGTAGACCCTTTTTTTGTGTGAACGACAGACGTGGGATCCTGTAACACAGATATGCACTTACGCCCGTAATCAGATTAAGCTGTAGAACAAGCAGATCGCTCGTGGTTCTGGTTTCTATCCGCTTGAGGTGTGCTGGCATTAGATGCCACACCCCGCTTCCTCATGGTCAGTTTACAGTGAGACAACGTAAGCAGACTCTCGCGTGTGTGTCCTGATCGGGAATGGCCGCCAGGCACAGTAGGAGTTTAAACTGCAACAAGTAAAACAACCTGTGCAGCAATCAACCCTATACACACATACATATATGAAAAACACGCATATGGTTTAATACAACTAATAATCGACAACGTAGCATACAGTTGACAAATAACTATAATACGCTTGACTGACATAACTTCTTAATTTGCAAGATCGCAAGATAGAAAATGCAAAGCAGTGGAAACGCCTCTACATGTAACCACATATACGTAAAAATTACTAACCCCTAATTCACCTGTAACATTGAAAACCACCACGGGGAAACCAGTGAACAGTGATGCTACGCTAAGGTACCTGGTCAGCTTCATCTTGGCAGCGCATACCAGCCAGCCGCTTCGACATGGTACCAAGTTACAAAACTAAAAATTATGAATGAAAAAGTTCAGAACAAGTCTTCAAATCGCCCATGCAGGGAAAAAGAGAACCATACATACAATTGCTGCTTCTGACCCACCTCCATAATTCTCTTCCGGAAAAGAAAACTTTCTTGTAATGGACTCAATTTTGAGGGTCCATTTATACCAATATATTATAAGAATAAGTATAAAAGAATACAATGGGTATGGAAAACCAGAAACATCAAGAAACTGGCAAAGTGAGAGAAAGATTTACACACCCTTCTCTCTTGACAAAACTGGTTAAACATTTTCACAGACAAATGAAAATGTGATAAAGAATATTAATCCTTGATTTATATTGTGCATTTAACATCATTTGTTAAAAACCCGATGATCCATTATAATGTGTTCAAACCAGTACATGTGCAGTTTCAAAAGCTCAAAATACTAAACTTGTTCAATCAAAAGGCATGGGTTGTCACTTGGTTTGTGACGATTGTCATTGCTGAAGCTGTCAACTTCACAGTGAACTCAGTTAATAACTTCCTTATAAAGACATGACATTTTACAAAACAAGGTAAATAATAGAATTTTGTTGACAGCGACAAACTTTCAAGAATAATAGTCTGTTGTTGAGGAAAAAAAGTATTTATATTTAACAAAATGAAAACAGTTACATTCAGACTTTTGCACCGAGTTTTCTAACGCTTATGTGTGATTATGGTACATATTTTGTTTTCTCTCTGATCACATGAAAAAACTGCAAAATATCTCACGAGCTTGTAAAAGACATTGTTATCTTGAAAACATTTACAATGTCTGTGTGATGCAACACATCTCATGGTAGCGCAAATAGACACAACACTAACACAAGGGCACTCACTTCATTTCACTTGTCACTACTTTCTGATGTCCCTGATATTTGCATTGCTTTTCAGTTTGACATAAGGTCATTATGTTTCTTACCAATCACATAAGCCACAATGATTACATCAGCCATTTGAAGTTATGAAATTGTCTGATGATTATTAACAAAAAAGAGCTCTCACAAGTGCACAAAACATTTCCTTAAAGTTCCAAATATATGTCTGAGATTCTTGGGATATTACCTCTGTGACAACAAACTAGAAACTAGTAAGTGTTACTTATTTCAAGTGATTCATCTTGTCGAGTACCGGTACACTAAACCAGGACAATCAGAACCCTAATGGGTTAGTCAGAAACTATATTCCAATGGAATGATGAATACCCAAAGATAACATCCTAGTTAGTTAGTTAGTAGTGATGGCCATTATAGCCATATGCCAACATCAATATTTCACCTTTGACGACCTCAGCAGCATCATGGTTGACTTCTCGAGGATGGCACGAGCTGACCCCATCTGTGCACGATGTTTCTCACTCTTCAGGTCCTGAAGAAGAACATCATCAAAGTGTTCATCTTGGTGTCATCTTGCAATGTGTGCAATTTCCTGAACAAAGTGACTAAGGTTTCTGTAGTGATTTATGCGAGTATATGCATTTTGTCTTATACAATATACCAGCTGTATGTTGACACCTCTTTAGAAATGAACCCTGGCCAAGCAAACCAGAGTCTGAATTCATTCCCAACAACAGATGCCATTAGTGTAGAATTACAATCTGAATATATATAACCTGATACAAACAAACAATTCCAGTGAGCTCAGAGACTTAGAAGAAATCTAGACTTGCTTCATCTAGAGCTTTAGCATTGCAGAAAAGGTTGGACGGAAGAGAAAATAATGTGGTTCAGGGCATGTGAGACAGACTAAAGGGTACTATATGGGACTTATCAAACTCATGGATTGAGTGAGTGAGTGAGTGAGTGAGTGAGTGAGTTGAGTTTTACGCCACGCTCAGCAATATTCCAGCAATATGGCGGCGGTCTGTAAATAATCAAGTCTGGACCAGACAATCCAGTGATCAACAGCATGAGCATCGATCTGCGCAATTGGGAACCGATGACGTGTCAACCAAGTCAGCGAGCCTGACCACCCGATCCTGTTAGTTGCCTATTGTGGCAAACATGGGTTGCTGAAGACCTATTCTACCCTGGATCTTCACGGGTGTCATGGGTTGAGATAGTTATTAAGGTCTTAAACTGATTTCAGCAATATTCTAACAATTTCACGGTAGAGATATCAGAAACGGATTTCACTCAATGTTCCCATGACAGGAATTGAACACTAAGTTTGGTGGGAGTAATGAACACACTAGCCTACCTCAATGCTACATAGCCATTGGACATTTATCACATTTTAACATTATCCTCATACTACCACAAACAAAATTCATACTTGATCTTATTATCAAAGTTGATAAGTGCCACCAACTGACTTATCTGGAAAATGTTTTTTCTAAATTCATCAGCAAGATCAATACTTGTTATAATTATTAACCTGAAGCCAGACACAGAATTTTTTTTACCCCATTGATATTTCCTGATTTTTTACTCCCCAGTTGTGAAAATGACATGAAGTTAAAATCCTGAAAGTAATTTGAAAACATTCATAGCCTGGTTACATGACCTTCGACCTACTTAGCATGGTCTAATTGACTTGTTATCAAACTTAACCTGGCTCTAATTATGGAATGTTAATAAATCCATCAATATCTGTATGAGTTACAAAACAGTAGGGAGACTCTAAAGCTCCTTATTACTTCCCGTCTAAGACTCTGATATAACATGGCTTAGACTCCTTACATACTAGGCAGGATACTAATGCTGTTTATTCTCCATCATGCCTCAAGCTCTGTAGACAGTAACGCATGTCATGAATACAGATGGGCTATCTTATCTAGTAATCCCTGTCATTATCGGAACAAATAGCAATACAGGAGCATGATGAATAATAATGATAATGACCAATTGTCTGGGAGGCAAATCAGGCCAGTCTATCAGTTGGTAGTATTGCTTCATAAACATAAATTTCTGTTTGCAAATGATACAGCTCTAAACATGAGTGCCCATTATAATGGCTGAAAAGTAAAGATAACAGGTAAATCTCCTTAAAATGTGTATCCCCAGATACAAACTATATTTTACCTTCACAAATGTTTAATTTTGTTTAAGAACACCCTCCCATTGTCTGAGGACATTGACACAACCTACTGGAGTGAGTGAAAGTTGGTTAGTGCTGCAGTCAGAATATTCCGGTCACAACAAGGTTGCGACCAGACAAGTCTGTGACCAAAAGCAGTAGTAACAACAACGTGCCATTTCACTCAACTGTCCAATACTCTTTAGTTAGTTCTGGAAACAAGGTAGTTATACAGAGCACCTGCTCAAACCTGGAATTCACCACAGAGTTTATTCAACTTGGATAGACCATTACTATGGAAAGATACTACTACTATGAATAATGACACTTGGGACGACACGTTAGTCACTTTTAAAGTAATTAGAAAAGAAATTGCATTATATACAAAAACAGAAGCTGCATCATACCCATGTTTTTTTATTCCCCCAAATTCTGCCTCTGGCACATTAGTTATCAGCACTTCCGATTTAACAACAGCACCTCAAGTTTACAAAAACATCTACGGTGGGGTAGCCGAGTGGTTAAGGTGTTGGCTCGTCACGCTGAAGAGCCGGGTTCTGTTCCCCTATGGGCACAATGTGTGAAGCCCATTTCTGGTGTCCCTCACCATGATATTGCTGGAATATTGCTAAAAGCAGCGTAAAACTAAACTCACTCACTCACTACAAAAACACATGCCCAGTGTGGTACAGTTTTGAAACAGAAAATTCCATGGCTCCTGCAACCTTAATAACAAAGATACAAACACTTCCAGTTGAATGAAATCACTTCTGGTTTGCGAAAATACATGCCAAATTCACAGGATATAATACAATTTTGAAAGAGGAAATACCATGACTCTTTCAACACATTAATAATGAAGTAATGAGCTCTCTGATGGACCTCAGTTCCAGCTATGGACTAATACAAGACTACTTCAACCACAGAAAGTCCTATGCCACTGACAGCCTTAACCTGAAAGTCAAATGCACTTCTGGTTGAATGACCTTATCCCTCCCATTTGCAAATCACATTGATTACTTCAAGTTGGGCACTTGCTCTCACAAACACCCCATACAGACACAGAGGGTTGCTTCAATAATGACAAAAAGCAACTCTACCTTACAGCATGTAAGGATGATCATTTCAGTGACATTCAATGAACTTTAAAATATCTGCAAAAATGTCTGCTTAGCGAAAATCATGAAAAAGACAAACATACTTTATGAATGACTTTCACTGTGATCTTGACTTTAAAGGATTAGCTCCCTCTTATTGTTTTAAAAACCTTCAGAGACAACTGTGAAGCCTCTCCATTTTCATGGGACAGTTGGATTTAGCTGATCCTGTAATACCTGTGTCCACTCCAACAACAGAAGCAATCCTACCTATCTCATGCTCTTTCATTCTGACATCCTTAACAATCGCTTGAACTCAATGATCTTAGTACTGACTCCCTACTAAATTTATGTTAGTGCTAGAGTGTATTGAGGGAATCACAGTTTGGCTTACCCAACCCTACACAGCCACAGTGAAGGTGGCGGGGAGGGCTTTCATTTTGGTTCACCCATCACATCATACTGATTCATAGACACAATGATAGCAGGCATTTACATTCTGTCTTACCTAACACAGCCACAATTAAAGTGAGAAGTAGAGGATTCACATATTGTCTTGTTCCACATGACAAAACTACAATAAACAGGAGGCACTCACATTTTGTCTCTCCCCAGAGAGTAGAGCCAGCTCCACCATGTCCTTCCCAAACTGGGTGAAGCCGGTGACGAAATCAGGAAAACTTGACACATCCTCTAAGTTGTTCAGGCTGAAGAGGACCTGAAGCAATAAAGTATTGTATGTCCAAGATTGTACCCAGATCTTCCCTGTATCTAAAATGCTGTTGGATGACATATTTAAGGGCCAGTGAAAGTAAAAGATCTGAAAATGAGAATACCTTGTCTTTGGCCATGAGCAACTGTTTGACCACCACCCTGTCAGCCAGAAGCAACACTTTAGTGATGGCTGACAACAACTGCCTTGCTGCCCGCACCATCGCGGTCTTGTCCGCCACTGCCTTTGGTGTTCCATCATTGGGCTGATCAGAGGCTGTGAGAGTCTGGATGCTGGACCCTGGATAAAAGCATACAGTGAATAGAGAAACAACATTCATATATACTGAACTGCAAAAGAAACATCACATGCAAAAATTTGTTCTTACAAGGTGGTGTATTTATTATGATTGTTCCGTTTCAATTACATGTTTTTCATTCCAAATCAATAGCTATTACCAACATCAGTGTGTTTTCTGGTGAAAAAGCATATCAAATAAAAGCACCAAAAAACATTCGTGAAAATTAAAATGGCCGTGCATATCGTGACAACTCTACCAATGAAAGCAAGTCCCAAACTTGCCTGAAATCATTCTTGTTTTGAAACAATCACCATACCACGACTTACGAGAGATCAGAGGAACCAAGCCTTGGGACGATTGCAAGTTGACCAGACTGCACTGAGGGTAGCCAATCATTTAAATGTTCATGTTAGGACAATCTACCGACCTGCAGTAACATCACAACATCAAGACCGACAGATTTTGTGTAACCATCTGCAGGCGAGGAAATGGTTTGACAGCTGCTCGCTATTTTGACCAAGTCATATGACACCATGTTCCACCACATTTTGGATGTCACAGAAATCACATCTACTAGGAAGACAACGCTCATATCTACACTGCCAGACTTCTGACACTGGACTTCCTAAGACAACATGGCATCCAAACCCTACAATGGCCTGCACTCAGTCTGGATCTAAGTCCAATAGAACACCTTCAGGACGAGATTCAAAGAAGATGATGATCACCAACCTAGGTCGACAACCGCAGCTGGACTTGATAAAGCATTTCGTGGACCCAAGTGCCCATGGCCTTCATCAACCTGCTAATTTATTCGATGCAACACCATCATTGATGCCCATAGAGGCCACACACGATACTGAATTTGAGGCATCCTAATGGTACCGTTTTTGGTGATTTTGTTTGTGTGGACTGTAAATGTGATTCCCGAAAATGTGTTAACCATAATTTTCAAGTTTGAACTCAATCCTCCGTTTTGATTGTTAATTAGAGCGACTAAAAGTGTGTGGTTAAGAAACCTCTATCGGTGTGGCGTTTCTTTTGTGGTTCAGTATATAATATACCACTGACATACAGAAACAAGCAGTTGTCACTTAGGTGACATAATCCCCCGCCACAAATTATCAAATCAAACTTAAAAAGTAATGAAAGTGAAGGTCGTAGTTTAAGATGAAGTTAAATGTCAACAAATACATGACCAGTCAACCTCCCTTGATATCTTGCTCTGCAGTTGTTCAAACACAAATATTTTCAAGACTCACTTTGACCTTGACATGAATGTCATTGTGTATGAAATATGCAAAAAGTAGTATAAAGAAACTGCTTATCAAAAAACATTTAAGAGAAGTCTTGAAAGTCTATGAAGAAATCCAGTGAACCCTTCTTGAGATATCTTGGTGACAATCTTAACATGCTGAAATCTTCAAAGTGTCGCTGTGACCTTGAAAATTGCGTGAAGGTCACCAAAATGAACTGGGCCCTGTGTCTTCCCTTTATTAAGCTTGGAGTCAAATATGAAGAAAATCGAGTGAAGGGTTCTTGAGATATCTCGCTGACAAGCTTAACATTGAAGTTAACATGCTGAAGTCTTCAAAGTGGCGCTGTGACCTTGAAAATTACGTGAAGGTCACCAAAATCGACTGGGCCCTGTGCCTTCCCTAGATGAAGATTGGTGTCAAATATGAAGAAAACGGCTCTTCAGATATCTCGCTGACAAGGGTAAAATGTTTAAGTCCCCTTGTGACCTCGAAATGAAGGTTAAGGTCACCAAACCAGCATACTGATGAGCCTAGGTACCAAGTATGAAAAGAATCTAATCAACGGTTCTTAAGATATTCCAATTCATACACACGTACGAACAGAGCCTAATATTACATCCTCCGCTTCGCTCTAAACGCGAGGCGGGGGATAATATTATAACATTTCTGCTCACGTTAAAATCCAATTTTTAACTACAAATACAAATTCAAGTCATTTTGATTTCTGCCAAAGAAAATTGCCACAGAACAGATATATACCTTTGACAGTACACCATAATCATGATAATAACTTATTATTTTTTAGCATTTAAATTTTCTCAATTATATTTGTCATCAATATACAAACATTCAGAAACGCTTGTCTGAATACTTTGCTCTCTCACTGAGAAATACAATGTGACCTAAGCAAATATGCTGATCAGAAACTCTGTGATGGTGGCAAATCTTGACTAATATAAAACAAGTCTTATGCATACTAACATAAAAATAGCAAGTTTGCTTCATATAAACTTTTATAAAAATAAATTTATTCAGAAATTAAATACAACATCTCTCAATCTATACACATGAAGACACCTCAACTTTAAGGTTGTGTCATAACAATGTATGGTATGGATTTACAACAAAACGTTTCTGGTCTACTTCTTGCCCTTTCATCACTCACCTGAAATCCATACCATGCGTTGTTTTGTTACCTTCCAGCTTCTAAAAGGCCATCAAGCATTTAAGATTGTGATTCACAATTTGAGTGTTCAATGTAATGCACAGCTCACAAGTTGAATGTTTGTTTGTAGGAAGCATGCTACCCATACATTTGTTCTTTTTAATGAGAAACCCCATACCAAGTTTGTTTAGGTATCAGATACCCATAAAACACTTTACTTTAACTGTAAATAAGGCATTCATAAGGTAATGAAAATCTGTATCTACACACTGTGGAAATGGCACAAAACAAAAGTTACCAGACATTTTAATGTTCATCTATACACAATATTATTTCTTTGGAGACATTGTCAAGATCACAGATGATTTTTTTTTATATTAATTAGCTTATGGTACTTAAAACAGATGTAATATGGCATTGTTAAAGTGGGTTATTAAACTTTGAGGGTTTGTTGTTGGTTCATATGTGGTAACACTATGGGAACAGGGTTGTAATCAGGGAAGCATGACCAGGTATGGCCAGAGAGCTGGGGAGTTAATTGAGAAACAATAGGGAGGTGTAGAGTAGCTTGGGTTGGGAGGGGGAAGGGGTTGTTTCTAGTATAAATAGTGGGACAGGGAAGTAATTTGTACAGACAGCCAGAATCACCATCGTGTTCACCTACATGGGTTCAAGCAACTGATATTCTGATACATCTCACGCTGGCTGGCGTAAGTTTTATTATTACATTACTTTCGTACATGATTGAGTATATTTGGCAAGAGACTTTTCAATTGATGGATTAAGTGGAAATGTAAATCAGAGTAGTGTGTAAAGTCTAAGGTAATGACACATCTCTTTTTGAGTAACTGTAGTAACCAATATTGTATCGTAGTGTCCCGGAACTGGCCGGTTATCCTTAGCATAAGGAGAAGTGAAATATCTCTGCCCCTAAGGAGACAAAGGGTCTCCGCTGCTTAGTAAGGAGAGGATTATCTGTGAGTATGAGTGAGTTGTAGATGGCACAGCCATCATCAACTACACGGGCACCTTCTACTCCGTGAAGGAAACCTTCGTCTGGGTGTGAGAGGAACCACACCAATACACAGGACGTGTCAGAAAGTGGAACAGAAGTACACTGACATTCTCATAAGAAAGTGTTAAATGTCTGAAAGACCATAGAGTGGCAATTTTCATTGTTGTCTATTTCATTTCTTTAGTATTCAATTTTGTACATAGGCATTGTATTATGTATATATTAGTGTGGGTATTAGGATATTAGTATACTTAGTAGTGTTGATAGTGTAACCTGAGCAATATTAGAGGTAGGCAGAAGTGTATGTGCAGCTAGTTTAGGTACTTAGTTCAGTTAGTTGTATTAGTCCTTTTAGAATTAGTTTAGATTAAGAATAATTATTGGGGTTTAATTACACCTTCAGGGGAGGAATAATGTTTTAAAAACTTATTCTATTGTTGTGGTTACTTTGGTATGTCAGACATAACCTACAGCAGGGTAAGTCTTATGACCCTCCACACTAACAAGACAATCATATACAGTTTGTGCATCTACAGAATCCCTACCAAACTGCCACAGTAACAGCTTGACCTATTCCTGTGTTCCTAATGGCAGAATGTCATGCAACCAGAACAACCATATGTTACTCATTACCTTTAGTTTGGGGGTGGTATTATAACATCGAAACTCACTGAAAGACATAACCCATCATTGAGGGCAATTTGACTGGTGTATGCGACCAAGACAACATCATTCGAGGACATGTTTGAACCTTTGTGCAAATGCAAGGATATAATTTCATGTTGCAGAAAGAAAATGGCCACTGCCTGAGTTGAAACAACCAGCATCTCTAGCTGATTCCCCAGCCCTCTCCCTACAGAAGATGTCTGGTTGAGATGGAACAATACCTACAACTGGAACAGAACCAGTCTGAAATGCTGGCTTAGTAAGGGTAACTTTGGATAGTATTTGGAACAACATCTTCTGAGTAATTTCCAATTATTTGGTGTCTTCATTACTTCCACTGCCTAACCTGTATCAACACAAATGATGGTTGTGACAAATAGTGAAATCGTTTAAGAGTTGTTACACCACCACTCTTTCAGGGCATGTCACTCTTCCCCCTGATACCTAGCATGGGTTTTGATGATATGCATGACAAACTTTTGTGGTTATTTTCAATAGCATATGATTTACACCACTTACAATGAAGCAAGTTACATATTTCCCCAATACAGATATCCATTAAAAGGTACATACGTCAAGTAGACCTAAGACATGAATAACACTAAGGTTAAGATAGATATTAATATCCTTGTTTCATTGTTGTAACTGTTGTGCCAACAATAATGGACACTGATGTACTGTACCATAACATGATGTCAGTCAGTGGGTCCGTCATCTTTACTAATTAACGACTATTTCAGCTAAATAACCATCACAATGGACATGACAAAGTGAAACAAGAAATTTGTAAATGTTGACACTGCAACAAATCCATTTTGATGCGAATTTGATACATGTGATGAATATTGGGTAACATATACAATAATAAGTCAGCAGTTGATGCATTATTCATTATATTCAGTGTAAAAGAATGACAATTTTCAACATGTTTTGACCATGTTGGCAGTGTCCATATGTAAGGAGACTTTTCAGATGAACTATTGAGTTTACTATTTACTAATAATATATATATATATATGTCTTTCTTTCACAGTTATACATACTGATCAGGTTGAGAATGTCTTTATTGTATAGTGATGATTAATTAAAGTTCAAGAAAACATAATATTTCATATACATACAAAATTACAAAAATGAGACATGAAAAACAAATTGTCCCAAGTAGCAGTACAAGTTTTCTGTAATTAACATGCAGGGTTTTACATGATGCGTGATTCCTGCATATTTGACACAACAATTTTGTAAACGACTCTCAAAATATTATCATTTGAGTCTCAAAATATTATCATACGAAGTCAAGCTTGGCGCAAGTTTTATGGGTGGCCCTCACAATTCAGTTCAATAAAATCGATTTGATAAGCAAAAAATGATATTGTTCGATGATAGTTTGACATTTACAGACCTGTCAGATTGTTCCAGAGAGACAGTAATCCTGGCTGTTTGAATTGAACAATGCTGTAGTTTAATTCGGTGGTGTGACATACAAGTTACATACTGAGAATGATTAACACAAAAGAAATATTAAAATTTTCATGACTCTCAAATATTGAAAATGACTCCCCAAAATAAATATTGAGTTACCATGACTCTCATTTTTAAAAGTCTGTGTAAAACCCTGAAAATGTATATTTGTAAACTGTAAACCAACTGAATAAACAAATTACAGTTCAGGTTATGGTGTTATAAGAACAACCATGCTATCGTTTTGTCTAAATTACAGTGAATATGCAAAAAACAAGAAGACAATTACATACTCTACTTTCAAGCATGACTCTATTTAATCAAAAAATTTAATCATGATTTTAAATAAAACGTCATAGCATAAGAAAAGCTTTTGGCTTCAGTATCAGTGTTGAAAACACCATCTTTAATCTGACCCGTTTCAACATCAATCACATTCCATCCCACTTCACGTGCGGTAATGTACCACCACGTCATGTCACAACAGACTCAAGTCACCATGTGATAATGTATCATCAGCATGATCGGGCAAGGACAAAGTTAGGCATTATCCATCCCCTCTGGTGCCACTCCTACCTGCTATCCTAGCCTCTTGACAAGCTTCACACATGTCATCTCTGATTTCTGGGTTCTCCACAGCAATCGACTCGCCTACGGTAGTGAAGCGCTCGACTGCGAGATTGACTGCTTCCCCCACTCGGACCAAAGCTCTCTGAGTCTTGTCTGTGACTTTAGTCCTCTCCTTATGGTTGACAAGGGTTGTGATCTGGAGACGACAGCAACAGAGCAATTAACATCACCATTCAGCTGACAATTTCCAGGATTAATCTTGGATTGTCATCCTGAGACCCAACTTTCAATATATTTTAGGCAGAGCTACATTAATTCTTTTATTTTGGGACATCACAAAGCTGGCCAGGCAAAACAATAAGCTCCTTTTGTGTGAAATGTTTTCCAACATGCGAGTTGCAAAGTTTGTCCTTGACGACGTAGACATGCCAAACAGAAGAATCTGAATACTTTTCAGTGTTCATTTGACATTACTTCCCATCTGTTTGTCAATGGCTTCACATAATATAAATAATAACAATGTATTTTTATTAAACAAATGTGATTTCTACCATGTTTCAACTGACCCCATAAGGCATGTGATTAACCTTGCCATGATGAATGTAACAATACATTATAATAAAAGGAATTTCTAAGTCAGGCTTTAACATGTTATTCATGGGATGGGTTTACAAAAATGTTATGTGCAGGATATAAACAATGTGTCAAACATGATCACCACTCTACATGTTTTAAATATTCCATTATTTGTTTACTCACAGAATTGAATCATCACATTATTTGTCAAAGTATAATGGAAATAAAAATGGTAAAAGATGAAACCATTTAAGCTAGTTCACTCATCAAGCGATAACACTCTACATAGATACTAAATGAAGGCACTGTAAACCATCACAATGATGAAGCAAATGAGAATAGTCTCCTGTGAGGTACACCTGGCTTGCATGACTAGAAGAAACAGTGGTCTTAGATTCAGGTGAGTATAACTATAATATTGTTAGCCAGTCAACAGTTCGTGTCTGCTGTCTTTACTATCTTGTCTATGTTTACTGTCTTGTCTACTGTTACTGTCTTGTCTACCGTTACTGTCTTGTCTACTGTTACTGTCTTGTCTACCTAATGATATTTAGCTTTAACCAAATTTTCGTTAACTTTTCCTTGTTTGTTTGCCTGCTTACTGACTTTCAACGAACATGGCAAGTCAGCAATATTCCAGTTCTATCACATAAATAAACAAGTTGTCCACACAAACCAGTGGTTTATATTATGTAAGTCCCATGCCATTGACGGATGACACACAACCACAACCTGATCACCAACTTCTTCCACCAAGCTGCCTTCACACCAGTAACAGATACCCAATAGACATGGGAAGATGAAAGGCCTGTGTTAACCAGGATCTCAACAGGGTCTTAACCTTTAAGTATTACAGCATTTACACCAACACATTTTCTACTATTCTAATTAAGAGGTCAATGGACATCAAAGGAAAACACTTAATCAAAAACGGTACAACAATCATGTTGAATCAAACATGCATAGAAAATATTACAAATGCCTAGTTCATTTTGTGCTGTTGCACAAGCTTAACATAATTAATCTATAAAACGATATACCAAGATATGTCACACACAGTGCCTTCCGGAGTTTGTTTTGTTCTAGAAGATCGTAAGTTAGAAGCACTATAGGTCCCCCTGAACGGTTACATAGGTGGGCATTTCAGACTCAGTGGCCAGTGCAATGTACATGGCAGAGACAAGCTCAGCTTAAATTATGTTGAATATGGTAAGCACAACTAGTATGGGATATGCACAAGCAATTTGATAAGTGTCAGTTTCATGGTTTTGTGGTATTGTTACCACTTTGGACATTGATATGAATATACAAAGAAATGTGGCAACAACTGATATACTGTAGACAGTTTTAGGATAGAAGTAGGTCTTATCACATTCCATCCATCAATACATTAAATCAGTAGAAGTTAGAACCCTCAACCGTGTCAGCCTCCTTCCACATCTACAAGCCTATGAGAAGTGTAATAGCAAGTGCCATAGCAGGCCTCCACATATGCAGCAAGAGAAACCAGTGACCAAAGACTCCAAGTGTTGTGTAGGCTGTACATGCTGTTAGTCAGTAGATGATAATGGCAGTTGAACATGGCACAAGGCTTTCCAGGCAGCTGCACACACAACCAGCAGTGATGGATAATTGATGGAGGAACGATGGCAGCACAAACATATCTCTACTTGCAGCAGGTACACAAGCCAAGATGAAATTGTTTTCTGCTTATCTGTCTCGAGAAGAGATAACATCAACACTGGTAACCTACTTATGGCATACAAAAAGATCTCTGTTACCTTGGGGCTAATACCTATCATTTTCTTTTCTTAATCCCATCCTTGTAAATTGGAAGTTATTTTTAGCTCACTAATGCGGTAGCACAAATACGTTTTATTTTTACAAAAAATTAATAAAAGAAAAGTGTGCCTTTCTAGTTATTAATGTGTATCAACATATTTTGACAAAAAATATGAATAATTTTATGATGTTTATGAGAAGTAAATATTCATGATGCAGAAAGGCTATGAAAAAATATGTCAGAGATGAATATAAAATACTGACACTGATGCCAAAATCCTTCCCTAAACATGTAAATTTATTGTGAACATGGTGAACCTTGGGGTTGTTTTTCATCGACAGATTGAAATAAATTCAAATAGAAACATATGAAGAGAGACACAAATATGACAAATGTGGACACGTATTCCTGATTTGTATTGATTCTCCAAAAAGTCGTTGATGACTTGCTAAAGAGATCATGGCTACTCATAGTGCTTCATCCATCTGTCACAAATGCAGACTTTCTCTTACCAGGCCCGGAAACAATTTTCAATATATTGACACATACACTGTTACAGCTGTGATACTAACAGCAATATTATTTGACAGATTTCATTCATGATTTGAAAGCAAATTCAATATAATCATGATAATAGCCTCATTCAGTGATTTGGATGGACCTCTGTGCTGACTCTCAATCAATAAATGATGCCTGTTTCAGCATTACCTTCCAATTCTTGATTACTGTGGCTCATCCTGCTGATAGCTACCCATTAGACTAACAACTAGTCTCTGAAATGAACGTATTTTACTGAAAAAAGTTCATAGTAAAATAAAATATAATGAAAAGGAGCCCTGAAAAGCTGAGGAAATCTAGACTTGCCACAATTTCTAGACTTGCGAGGGCTTTCTTGGATATATTTGCTTCAGGGTCTGTACGACAGACTAGCTTCCCATATTTGATACCTGCAATACTTGGAAGCAACCACAAACATCTAATCATTGTTATTGTTTGTTGTGTAACACTGTATGCAGCAATATTCCGACTAACCTATAAGTAATTGATTCTGGACCAGACAATTCAGTGATCGACAGCATGAGCATTAATCTATGCATTGGGGATACAATGACATGTGTCAACCAAGTCAGCGAGCCTGACCACCTCATCCTGTTAGCCGCCTCTTATGAAAAGCATTGGTTGCTGAAAACAATTCTAACCCAGATCTCCACGTGTATAAATATCTAACCACAACAGTAATACAATATCTGAGAGTCTTCACAAACCAAAGCCTCCAGTTCTTGCAGTTTACACACCACAAGGGAAAGCATCAGTAAATGTGCTAAGAAATATAGCTGACACCTTTTACCAACAGATACCTACTGATGTACTAGGAAAGTATCTGAAACTCACAATCATAATTCTTTCTGGGTGCAACATGTGAAACCATTTCTGGTGTCTATGCCATAACATTGCTTGGATATTGCTAAAAGCAGCATAAAACCAAACTGATTCAGTGAAATAAGTGTTGATACAAAACACTCCCAGAACAACAGGTACAACAGCAGAACACATACATCCTCACGCTAGCTTTTCCCAGAGATGATATAACTGTGATCATGATGACAGTAAACATTGTCTTTGATGTGATGAATTGTCATTAAATCTCTGATGCTAAAGTACAGTAATACACTTTACTACCATAACAGCAATCACAATTATACGCTTGTCAGGATGAACGGATGTGCACATCTGCCCCCAATCAATGATGGACAAAAGCTGACATGGATACTGTCAATACAGCCATGGTTGCACTTGACGTGGTGTATGTGTGACCTTCTATTAGGGCACAATCTTGGCAATTATCAAGGTTATAGGAGTTGAGTATAATAATAAGTTTACATCATCTGTTTCAAATCAGCTGTATCTAACGATCCCCTTTGACTGTTAAACCATAGACACAGTGTAATTCACATAATACCACAAGTCCATGGTACAAAGATGAGAAAAATGTTAGTTTTATGACTATTATTGATAATTATATTCGATAACAGACAGAAATCATGAAGGAGGTCTGGAGTAATCAGTCTGACAGCATGAACAAGGAGTGAGTGAGTTGGGTTTTTCACCACTTTTAGCAATGTTCCAGCAATATCATGGCAGGGGACACCAGAAATGGGCTTCACACATTGTACCTATGTGGGGAATCGAACCCGGGCCTTCGGCAGCATGAACAAGGATTAAGGCCAAGATCATCGACACGATCAAGGTAGAACTTAGCCTTGCTAAAATGCTGTACTGAATGATGAGTTCATGGTAGACTAATGCTTAGTATCTGAATATATATAATTTTGATAGTAACAAACAAACCCATATAAATTGAAAAGGATCCCCAGGGAGACCATAGATTCAGAATCAGAATATCCGAGACAGAATTAAAAGAATGTAAAGATATATTTTCAGATTTGAAAATTCCATTAATTGAAAAGGAGCTTAGTGAGATGGGGATTCAGAACCTGAACCTGAGGAAATCTAGACTTGCTTCAGTTATGGCTTTAGCATTGTTGAGAGTGCTAGACAGTAGGGAAAATAATGTGGTTCAGGGACTGTGAGACAGACTAAGTTCATGGATGTGTACTTATTCTATCCTTTAAGAGGCAGTGGGGTAGGCTAGAGGTTAAAGCATTTGCTCATCATGTTGAATGACCAGGGTTTGATTCCCTACATGGGTACAAAGTGTGGCTCCCATTTCTGGTGTCCCCTGCCATGATATTGCTGGAACATTGCAAAAAGCACCACAAAACCAAATGCACTCACTCACTCTATTCTTTAAAGAAGCAAGTCTAGAATAGCAGACA